TTAATCAAACAGGCTGTTGGAAGAAATAAAAGCAGTAAATATTTCCACTTTGCCTGGGATAGAGTTTATAAGTTGAGGAGAATATAGCACATATGAAGAGGCTGACATAAATATTTTGTGATCTTAAAACAAATTCTTTGGGTTATTTTAGAGGTTTTAAAGTGTTATCCTAATTTACTTTTTAATAATAGAAGTAGTAGAGACAGACACCTTGGCTATTACTCAGGGCTAAGCATGAAAAACTAAGAAAGAACCTGGAAAAGCAGAGCTTCACACTTAGTTCTTCAACAAGGAAAAAAGAAAAATCTGATTTTTAAAGGTATTTTCCATTTAAATGTTTGTCATATATGACTGCAGATCCCCTGACTTCCATGATGAGATAAAGATAAAGTTGCCTGCTTCGCTGTCAGACCACCACCACATTCTCTTCACGTTTTACCATGTTAGCTGCCAGCAGAAGCAGAACACACCACTAGAGACCCCTGTGGGGTACACGGTAGGTCAAACCACAATCATGTACTTTAAAAGACAGATCAATATGCTCATTTTGTTTGGATCTATCTGCCATCTCTTGCAAGGATCCAAGTTTACGCCTACTGATGAAAACCTTTTCTTTCTCCAGTGGATCCCAATGTTACAGAATGGTCGCCTGAGAACGGGACACTTTTGCTTGCCTGTATCCCTTGAGAAACCACCACAGTCATACTCAGTTCTCTCTCCAGATGTAAGCTCTGCTGTTAGAGTGTTCTGTTATTTTATATATAAACATTCTATAGCCAGTCAGATGCTTATCAATGTCCTATTAGTTGACATCTAACTTCTTTTTAAAGGTCAAAGTTGATCCTCTTAATTCCCAACTACTCTCTAAAGAGTTTTTTGTGAATATCTGTCAATCTGTAAAAAAAAAAGTTGTTTAAAACTTGTAAAAATAAAAAATGTTAAACCCTTTTAAAAGGTCAATCAGGAAGTTGTGATTCTGTGCAGTTTCTTTTCTTTTCTGCACCTTCTGATTGGGCTTTAGATAAAGTATTATCCTTACAAAAAGAACAAATTTCACACTTTCACCCTTTTTATTTCTGTTTTTTCTTCCTCTTGCCAAAGCAAGCCCTAATTTTTTCTGTCTTATTTCAGGTCCCTCTTCCAGGAATGAAGTGGGTAGACAACCATCGAGGTGTATTTAATGTGGAGCTGGTGGCTGTTTCCACTATCCACACACAGGTAAAATACATTTGCACAGATGATTCACAATATCTTGCAGATTAACAAGTTTTTCAGATTACCTGTCTTAACCTCTGACTTTTCGTATGGTTTTTTATTCCTCTTGTATGGATGAGTGTGTGTGTTTTGGTTATCAACCACTTTAAAATGATCCGCTCTGAATAAAGACCTTGTGCTCTCTATGTTAGTTGGTATAACTTTAGCAAATGTCAAGGTTTACGTTTCTCATTGAAGAGAAACGTAAACCTTTTTTTTCCGTTTTACACAATAAGACCTTCCCAACATTACTTAAAAGCAGGTGAGTCTTTCCTTGCCAACAAATTACTAAGGCTACTACTCTGGATCAGCTGCCGTTCAGATGCTTGGATTGGGCTCACTGCAGCTGATCTGCTCATAAATCAAAGCACTTGGAACATATTTGCTATATATTAGGTTCCCAAATGTTCTTGCTGTAATATTTCGTTTGCACCTTTTACTCAATAAATCAGCTTGCCAAATTACACACAAGGCAATCAGCAGGTTCCATCTTCTTATCATTATTATGATTTTTCTGTTTCACGGATACACATTTAATTGATTTTTTGGGGGAGACACCGGGAATTTAGTAAATCTCTGTCAATACAAACTTTCCCCAATTCCAATTTGTCTTTAAGAACTTAAAATGTTAAAGTAAAAAAATTCTACTATCTGATGTTTGGATTTTTTTTGGGAAAAAACAGCTAAAGGTAAAAAAAACTATCCCTGTTTCACTTGATAGAATCCATGGGTAGAGTGAAAATGCTCCTGACTATGACAGAGAGGTTTTAATGGAAATTACACCAAATTAATATCATTAACACCTATCTTAAATGTTCTTTACAGCTTTCTCACTTTTTATTTTAATTTCTTTTTACACCTAACTTGATTCTACTACATGAAATTGAAATAGTTATATTTTTGTCAACTTAATATTGGAGTAGAAAAATCTGATGCACTGTCATATGATAGAATGATAAATCATAGATTTATCTACCTTAACACGGATGCCCCCACATCCATGATAACTGCTCTCCCTACATTGTGTACTACTAAACGCTAGTCCTCTTAACCAGAATTGTGCAGTGGCGGCTCTAGGACATTTAACAGGGACCAATGTGCACTGGGGGGGTGGCCGAAGACTAATGAGTACCGACAACGGTTAAGGGTTAACCTATACTGTTCACATTTAACCTACATCTATACTTTCAAAGTTGTTAAAGATAGGCTCCCTGAAGATGGAGCCAAATTTAATTAGGTCCTTGCTAATAATGCTACAAACCTATTTGTACATTGGTGCTGCTTAAATAAATGTATGGTTCTACATAATATATACACTGAATGCATTGATCTTTATCTTCAGTTAAAAAGAACACTCCTAAATGACTGCAGAAACAAACTGTACCCCATAAAACATAAAAACTAATTCATAGAAGAGTCTGAATTCTATATTGGTCCTCTTTAATTGTAATATATTGTTGTATAGAATTGAATGCTGTATTTGTTGTCACTTTTTGGTTAATATGCTAATGTCAAAGCAGGACATTCTACATGATGTTATTACTTAAAGAGGGGCCATGGCCCCCATGGCCACCATTAAGATCCGTCCCTGATTGCTAATATCTAAGTTCAACTAACAGCACAATTACATTGCTTATGTTGTTGCAACAGAATCAAGGGGCTAATATAGATTTGAAAAAAACATATTTTTAATTGTGAACATTTATATTTGACTGGGAGAACTGTATTTTCCCTCGGTGTAATGAGTTAAGACAATTTACAAATGAAATAAGATGATTTATGTTTCGAGATTTAAGAGCAGAAATTCTCATTCCTTTGAGAGATCAGCCTATTTACCTGCTCAGTTTAAGGGCAGATGCACTTATTTTAAGAACACTTTTATTTTTTTTATCAGTGTTTGCAGTTTAACCCTAAAATAATTTGTTATGATGATGTGTGATCATAAGATGATGTAGCATAAGAGGCTGTTACTAATCTGTCCTTTGGACCAATTTAATATTTTGCCTCGACAATTTTCTTAAGTAGTTATTTAGAAATTACCGTCATCTTTAGGCTTCAGTTGTAATAAGAAATGATCGCTGTTTTTGTCTGTTAGATCAGAAGTGTGCATTCTTGGCTTTGTGGCTCACTTATTACTCTAATCCAGTGGGGTGGGGGGCGTGGACATCTTATTGTAATCCAAAGGGGGGCCCAGAAGAAAATCTTTGGGAACCACTGCTCTATTCAATCTTGCCCTAGGTTCTTTTTTTGTGTGTTATTCTTATTTTATGTGACAGCATAAAAGACATGGTTCTTATCTTTCCTATAGAAGTCTGAGCATGAGCCTTGGGAACTACGAATCTAGCTCCACTCCTTTTCTTTATGGGGTTCCACAGGGCTCAGTGTTAGGATGCCTTATTTTTTCCTTATACTTGCTGCCCCTGGGATCCATAATAAGACGGCATTGCATCTCATCATTTTTTTATGCTGATGATAGTCAGATATATGTTCCTATTAAAAAGAAAAAAGGCCCTTTTCCCTTTCACCACTACTGGCATGCCTTAAAGACATTGAAGCCTGGTTGGAGCTTAACTTTTCTGAATGAATAGCTCTGTGAGCTCCAAAAAAACGGTTTGTTTTACTATAAGCTTTAGATATTATCTGTGTCACCTGTGACTTCATTCTTGACCTGACAACTTCCACACCAAAGAGCAGGGGTGGGCAAGTCCAGTTCCTGGAGGTCGGTATCCTGCAAATTTTAGATCTAACCTTGGTCCAACAAACTTGAATCAAATGGCTGACTTACTCCCTCAGTATGGAGCCAGTTCCTCTAGAATCCTCTCAATCATCTCATTGCTTGATTCAGGTGTGTTCAACCAAAGGCACATCTAAAAGCTGCAGGATACTGGCCCTCAGGAACTGGAATTGCCCACCCCTGCCATAGAGTGTTGTGGGAAGCACATTCTGGTATAGCTTTAATTTATGCATTGGTTGGAAAAAGATTACTACTCAGGTTAAAGGGCACTAATCTAGGCCAAACAAAACAAATGCAGTTTGTGACTTTTTTTAGCGCATTTGTTTTAGTCTTTTCTTCATTATTTTTGTACAGTGTCCTGCCAATACATAAGAAATGTGTCCCTCATGCATGTCCCTCTTCATTTTTCTAGGACCAGTACCTGGATAAGTTTTTCGCCTTGGTGCATGCCCTGGATGAGCATGTGTTTCCGGTCAGGATTGGAGATATGCGCATCATGGAAAACAATCTTGAGACTGAGCTGAAGTCCAGCATCGCCGCGCTAAACTCGGCACAGCTGGAGCCGGTGGTTCGATTCCTTCACCTTCTACTTGACAAGTTGGTGTTGCTCGTAGTTCGACCGCCAGTCATCGCTGGACAGATTGGTATGATTCTGGATTACTCTGTCTAAAAAAGAAAGAGCACTGAAAGAGGTGGAAAATAATGAATTTGATATATTATTCTATTCCCGTGCATTCAGTTTTACAGTAAAAACCTTTATCTTTGTCTGTTTCAGTGAATCTAGGTCAGGCATCCTTTGAGGTGATGGCATCTGTTGTGAACCGGCTTCACAAGTATCTGGACACCAGCCAGGACATGCACGGTCGCAACAGCTTGCTGTCCTCTTACATCCACTATGTCTTCCGCTTACCCAGCACTGATCCCAACTCACCATCACCAGGTAACAGTCAACACTTTTAAAACTAATTTTACTTATTCCCAATCTTTTTTTTTTTCTAACCTTTTTTTCATCAACCATATTGATTTTTCTTAATGCATGTATTAATTTCTCTTCCATTTCTTTTTTTTTTATTTTTATTTTTTACCTTATGACCTTTTTTTTTTTTACTTCCACCTTTATTTTGTCCTCTTCGCGCCCAACACAGCCTCCACTTCATCTTTAACAGGTAGCTATGATCTATTGCTTTAAGGTATAAGATGCAGGATTTTGAACATAGATATCAGTGGTCTCTTCACATGTTTTTTCATCCTCACGTATTATCCGCATGTTAGGTTGATTGTGCTTTTTAGGTCAGGATCGGCTTAGAGAAAGAAATAATACAATCACTTTCTCATTATTCTCTTTATTGTCTCTGATTCATATCTGCCATAGAAAAATGTGCCTTAAATTAATTGTAAAAGTTTTTTATTTAATTTAAAAACATATTTTATTGAGAAATGACTGAGATCAATGTAAATTCAAGTAAAGAAAAGTATGAAGTATAAAGCACTTTCTATACCGGTTGACTTATGACGTCTTTGTCTTTGTGCTATGTCCCAGGTCCTGGGGGGTTGGGAGGTTCAGTTCACTATGCCACCATGGCTCGCTCGGCGGTCAGACCAGCCAGCCTTAACCTCAGTCGCTCCCGCAGCCTGAGCAACAGTAACCCTGACATTTCCGGTACGCCCACATCTCCCGATGACGAGGTTCGCTCTATAATTGGAAGCAAGGTAAGAGAGTCAAAATTTATTTTTTAGATCTTTCATCTCTCAAGTTCGAAAGATGTAAATGGATCATAAAGGCCCCCTCACTAAAAGTGTCATTTTGCCACCAGTTTGGACAATTTCAGCAGCATAGATATGTTTTTGGATTCTTAAACTAATGACCCATTTGGCTTGTCCCCTCGGCTGATTGATCCTAGATACTATAGGTAATTTATTTTTTTTATTTTTTTTTTTTAATCTAGAAACTCATTGATTTGTAAAGTAGTCTGATTTCAGTAAAGTAGGTGAAAAGGATCTGTGCTTCTTAAAATACATAACACAGAGGCCTCCATGTGTCTTTTGACCCAGTGTGGATTTTATTAACATGTGAAATATATAACCAATGCGTAAAAATAAAATTGGACATCCTCTATCTCTGTTTACCTCTTCCCACAAAACCTCGAATGAGTTAATGCTATCAGCGACATAAATTCAAAGCTGTGGTTCCATTCATTTTATTGGATTTTTTTGTCTTTTATTTCATGTTATTTATCTGTTGTCATTCAACTTGTATGATTTGGTATTTCCCACGTAAAACATTTTTTATTTAACTCAGATAATCCATGAGCAGTGAGTGAATGACTGAATGTGTTTTTTTTACGCATTTCATTGTTCTAACCTTAATATGATGGATGCAGCCCTTTACTGATGAATGCCCCACTTTCTGTTTATATTTAACAAAGCCTCTTTTTTGTACACACATATTGAAAGGGATATGAAGAAGTTTTCAACCTTGCTGCTCTGTGGTGATGATTTGAATCTTAACTTATTGAAAGCTAACCTTTTTGGGAGGCCTTTGGGATCTTCCAGAAGTCATGATTCTAAACCGCTTTAACTTGTCATTATTCCTTCCCTCCTCCTTCCCCCCCGTGCTGCTCGCTTGTTTCCTTGCTTCCTGCCTGCCTTGTGTCCTTTGACCTTGGCACCCATAGGGCTTAGACCGCTCCAACTCGTGGGTGCACACCATGGGCTGTAGTGCCCCCTGGGGATCCAGCCCTGGGTCCGCTCCAGAAACCATGCAGGTGGTTTTATGAATGCCCCGTCCTTCACTTTACCTCACTGCAAGAACAACCTTATTCACACTGAATGAATACTGGTATACTTGAAGTTTTGGTCTAACATCATTTCTTATACTCACAAAGAAGTGTTAATGTGCATTTTGTAGTGGTTACTCTGTTGCTAATAATTGTCATTAAAGTACTAGCAAATTAAGTGTTCTTAAGCCATTTTTTCTGACAAAGTCAACCACTATTTACTAAATGTAAGAAAAAATTAAAATGTTTTAAGGTCCAAAAGTACCATAAATCAATAAATAAATAAATCACTTAATGATCGGAAACAGATCAGTTATTTATATAGGGCCAATTCACAACATAATGTAAACTCAGGGCACTTTACAGAGGATATTCAATCTGATCAAACAGACTGGTTAAAGGTTTTTATCTAAGGAAAACCAGTGGTTTCCATGGAGTCATAGTCTTTGCAGGTCGAGCTCTTCCTAGATGAGCATGTGGTGACCTTAGATATTCGCTTGCATTGTGTCATTGACTCTACAGCAACCCCTCACACTGAGCATGCATGCAGCAGCAGTGGGGGGAAAAAAACTCCTTTTTAACCAGAAGATTATTATGCAGCCTACTAGGTTTCTTTAAAAAAGTTGAATATGAGTTGTTAATGTTTGACCTCGTCTTTTTCTTGTTCAAGAAAACACTATACATTTATCCAAGAAGAAAATATATATATAAAAAAAATGTTGCTTGCGTCCTGTTTGCCAATGTGGCTCTGGAAATAGTTGTGCTAGAGGTAGACGATAGCCCAAAAGATTTGCTTTCACTTAATAAAAGAAAAAAAATGCATTGTATTTATTGATTTATTCAATTCTGTCCAGATTTTGTTTATTTCCCATTTAAAGTTTAAAAAAGGATGTTAAAAAAAGAGAATATTACTACAATTAATGTAGATTTACGACTCTTTCTGAAAAGTTTGTCTCAATAGACGTTCATATCAGTGGGTATCACTAATGAACTTTTTTTAAACTTATTTGAACAGAAAAAAAAGGTACACTTAAATGGTAACCCTATTCAAACATAGCCTTTAAAAATAGGACAGCCCTGCCACCAACCTTACTTAGCTTGGCCATGAAAGCTTGAGAGGCTGTCCTTTACTGTACCTACATTACCCAGAATGCTTTGTGGTTCTGATTCATAGTTAAGCTAAATTTTATTGGATGTTTTTTTTCTATTGAAATTGATCAGATTCTACTGCAATGCTTCTGGTTATTGGTTTATTGCCTTAATGCTACATAAATACTGTTATGTTTAGTTAATGAATTTCAAAATGAACACATTAAGTGTTATATCTTTATTTGTTTACTGTAGCCAAAATGTATTTCTTCTAACATTTCAACTTTAACTAACTCAATAAATTATTCCACGATCTATTTATTTAGGAAAGTGTGGTACTTTTGGAACTCCATTCCAAAGCCTTATAAAATGTTAAAAATGTCCTTAAAAGACCAAACCTTCTGAGTATTACAGCATTCTCCTAAACCTTAGATCACAATCCTTCCATGATTTGACTCATGGGAGTCACAGTCGCCTCCATGACCTCTCTTCATCCTAAGCCTTGTTCAGAAAAGGCAGTAACATGAGTTTCTTAGTGATCCAGCTAGATATGCATGGGACTTTTAAACAAATGGCAACCTTTAAGACGATCACTACATTAACAGATAATAGCAATATAGATCATCTTAGCTATAAAATCATCCCGGTTAGCTCCTCACTGGCTATATAAAACTTATTTGGTAGTAACGGTTTGTTATTACTGCAGGGGCCTTACAAAGTCTTAGAAATACAGAGTTTTCTCATTTTTTTCAGTCGGGATATGGGAAAGAAATGCATACAAATATGTTTGAGTGCTCTAATTAATTCCTTTGGATATTGTCTAAAACAGTACTTACAAAATGACAGCATGCACCCTAGGGGGGCTGGAAGAAATTGATTGGATAAATTACATACTTTGAGAGGTATTGTTTTTCTTTTTTTAATAGCAATGTAAAATTCTGTTATGCAGTAAGATAATCATTTAAAGATGAGGAGGCTCAGAGGGGCAAGAGCCTTCTCTATCGCTCTTCCTCTTTTATGGAATAACCTCCCGATGCACATTAGGGAGGCTCCTTCGATGCCAGAAAAATTATAAATGAAAACTTACGTTGAAAAAGAGTTTTTACACGAATACTAAAGTAACATAATTTATGGTGATGGTTACACATGAAAAATTGGCTTTAACGTTTTACATATTAGTGTTATTTTTGAGTGATTTACTGTAAAAATATTGCTAAATTATGAATCAATCAGGAATCACAATCAGTGAAATTAAAAAGAGCAGAATGCTGTTGTGCTGAATGCTGCTTATTTATCCACATAACTATTATAAATCAGTTTTAACCTGTATTAAACTTTTTGTACGTGTAATCTCTGACTGGCTAATTCAGGTGGGGGGGACTTGATAAACTACCCATTTAAAATTTTTCAACGTACTGATAGCAATGTTACATTTATTGTGAAACCTGTAAAAATGGATCACTGAAGACTCTTGTTGCTGCCATAATGAAAAAGGTTTCAACACTCTATGCTTTTCTCATCTAATGTCTCCCTTTTTCTTCTTCGACTTGCATGAAAGTCATCGTGATTCAGACACCTAAATACCACTTTTGACTAGATTGTAGATTTCGTTAGAATTATTGATAGTGCTCATTATTAAACAGACATAATGTGCCAAGTGTAAAGATTTCATAAACATTACTCTTTGGTGGGGAAGAATAAAAAAGACTAGTGCTGTCATTTGTTTCATTTTTCATGCAAGCTTTTTTATTTTTTCCTGTTCTGTCGTCTTTTCCTTCTCATTCGCTCAGCTAGGTCACTTGCATGTCTCTTCACATTTTCTATCCGCTCTATCTCTTAAGATGTGTGTACTTGTGAGTGTGAATGTGGATCAACCCATGTGAGCTCCTTGCCACACATTTTTATTTGATATTGTGCCATGTTTCATTTTGACTATTCACGACGTAAGCATTGTTACTTAAAAACACACATGCAGCTACCAAGGTGGCATTGATTGTTTAAAAAATATAAATACTCAGTGCCTTAGAAAACTAATCATACCCCTCTAACTTTTTTATAATTTTATTTTGCACAACCACAAATATCATTATAGTTAATTAAGATGTTATAGATGGAATAAAACATGCATAATTGCAAAGTGGAAACATAACTCCTGGTATCCATCTATATTCATCCTCCTTTACTCCCATATCCTAAAATAAAACCTAGTGCAAGCAGCTGCCTGTAGAAGTCACCAAAATTGTTATTCCAGTATAAATTCATCTGTTCTTCTAAGGCCTTTGGGGTCTTTCAGAAACAAATAATGAACAAACAGCCTGGCAAAGAACAGGAGACCTGGCTAACAGTTCAGTACAAAGCATTGGACTATTTTAAAGGGGAGTTATTGAAATAAGATTAAAGCACAATATATCAAGCTTTGGCCATCTTTATAAACCATAATCTCAAACTCAGAAAAAAAGAGACAACTGCTTATCGATGTTGGCTGGTTAATGTAGCCACAAACGCTATGAAGGAAAGGCATTTATGGGGAAAAAAAAAAACATTCAACAGGCCCATCTTCACTCTTTGTAGAAGCGTTAATAATCCTATCCAAGTTGGTTATTTAATAACTCCCAACTGTGTGATATACTATCAGAGGGCCATAACAAATCAGTTTTGTAATTGTCTAAAGCTATATAGAGGAGCCAGGGAATATGTAGTCGTCTCTTTATATGAAACCAAGACTCCAGCAGAATGCTGTGTGAAAACATTTAACAAAATGTCCAAAACAATGATATCTCTTTCCAAAGTCAAGGTGTAACAATTTAGAAAGAACAACCCTGAATTTGTTCCTTGGGATTAAAAGCTGATTTTATTTTGGGGATCTAAGTGCTAAATTTGGAGTATGTGGTTTTGAACGCTGCACATCACTCTAAAAAACACCATCATTCTGTTCTTCTCAGAGCCTTTCTTTGGGGACAGGGACGCTAACCAGGGTTTATAGAGAGTGGGATATAGATACATATGGAGCAGTCCTTGAAGAAAACCTTTTAGAGGTTGAAACTGACAGTAGCCCCAAACATGCGGCCAAAGCTGTGGTGGAATGCTTAGAGTCAGACGTCTCCAATGATAGAGTTGCAACCCTTGGCGAACCGGAGTCCTGAAATTTTAGTTTCAATTATCTTTTTTGGTTGAAAGTTGTCTTTAAACAGTCATAAACATGAATCAATCGTGTAGCAAATTGATAAAATAATTCATTTCAATCAGAATTACATCCATTCAGTGAGCATGCAACACATTCCTGATTTTTTAACCCGAAAATATTATGATAGTCAATTATTCTTTTGCTTCCACTTTACAACTATGTCCTACTTAGTGTTGGTTGGCCACAAAGAAAATAAACTTTAGTTTACAAATTTAATTTTGTGGTTATAACATAAAATGTTTAAAAGTGTAAGGAGTATGAATACTTTTGTAAAGCACTGTTACAATAAAACTTCTCTAGCTATTGTAGGACGTGTTTGTCTTTTTTATGTTTTCATTCTTGTAAATCCCTGTAGGGATGCAGAATGGTGCATCATGACAATGCAACACTTAAAAAGTCTGCCTTGTTTGCAGCCATTTTGCATTTCCACCGTAGGGTATTCAAGCCGATATTCTGCTAGCTTAGTGGCACAACATTTAGCTGTTGTGGTCCCATCTTGTGTTTTGTTTTGTGTCCTCATGTATGAAAAGCAACACAATCACAAATGTGTGTTTTTGTGCATGTATATGTGGGGAATCCGTGCCTTTAGCACACGGTCCCTGTGGCCCACGTGCTGAGGAATAGCCCCACACTTTTGTTGCTCCTCCACTAACCTTGCTGTCACCGTTCCATTCATCCCACTCATAGGCCATGGAGCGCTGTGGCAATCGCATGTCTTCGCACACTGAGAGCGCCAGTTTCTTGCAAACTTTAACAGGACGGTTACCCACTAAAAAGGTAGAGCCACTTGCACTGGGGGAGGAGCCGACCCCGCACTCCTCTTCTTCGCCTCCTCACCCGTTCTGTCTGTGGATTCTGTGTGCTTCTGTATTGGTTGATGTTGTATTTGGTTTTTGTGTTGGTTTGTTGAATGCTGTATATCACAATTTTTGCCTCTTTCTCAGAGATTCTGATTGTATTCTCATTTCTTATTTTTCAGTTTGGCTAAGGCTGACTGTGAGGTCACTTTGTCTGGAAAGTCTTCCCAATCACAGGAAAATCTCAGCACTGCTTTATTTTTTCCTCCAATATATGAATAGAACATTTCTATTCTAAAACCCTTTTTTGCTTAAAAATGTTGTTTTTTCTGCTTAAGCTTGCATTTAATCCTTAATATTTTTACAATCCTGACCAGCAGACTAGCTATTGTTAGATCTGATTTACTTAACAAATTTAGGGAAGACTTTCTAGGCAAAAGTTAGTGCATTTGCTAGACTATGCTGAATGAAGTTGATGTTAAATATTATTTAATATCGGAAGCTTAGTTACAGCCTTTTAAAGAAAAAAATATCTATTTTAGTTATTTATGTTACAATGGGGGAAAAAATGGCATAAATGCATTTTCAGGTTTCAAAATGATTTAAATAATTATAAACTAAACAGACCAAATCCTATGTGTAAACCACACTGTCATTATTCTTTGATTGTTTAATGTTACGGTTTAAAACCTGTTTTCTGCACTGGAGCACTAAACATAATTCTGCTTTTATTACAGGTTAATACTCAGGGTCACTCTGGATTATTTCTTTGCAATTTATTTTACAGTCAGAATGTAGTTTTCCTATTAAGCGCTAATCTGGGTCTTTGCAAAATGTACAAAAAGTTGTTTTTTGCATACATTTTAAATTTTTATTTTAAATGTATTTTAACATATACTTTAATATATACTTTTATTATTAATACTTTTAGTCACCTCACCTGTTTTCCTCTTGCTCTAGTGCTTGTTGTGTCCCTCTTTCTACACATCTCTCCATCTCGCGATCTTTACGTTTTAAATTTGCTACCCAGCTTTTTCACGAGGAATTGGCCCTACAGTGGGTGGTGAGCAGTGGGAGTGTTCGGGAGGGAGCTCTGCAACAGGCCTGGTTTTTCTTTGAGCTAATGGTAGGAGGTGTTTTGCACATTTTTATCATCTGCTGCTTATTTTTTTTATTATCTTTTCAAAAACATGATAACTTCATATTTTTTATCTAATTTAAAACCTTCACTGCAGGTAAAGAGCATTATCCACCACCTTTACTTCACTGAGCGCTTGGAGTCACCAAGGAAAAACCGATTTCCTGAGCGCTTTATGGATGACATTACAGCGCTGGTCAGCACGATTGCTGGAGACATTGTTTCTCGTTTCCAGAAGGTAAATAAAGACCAATTAAAGTTTCTTAACATCTCAGCTATCGACTTTGGAGTATGTTTAAAAAAATAAAAATAAAGAAAAATATTATTTTCTACTTTTTTGTATTTGCCTTTTGAAATCAAATTTAATAACACCTCTTATGTGTGTTTAGCTTTCATTTGTATTCAAATAACTTTTATGCATTAAATGAAAATCAATTTTTTTATACCTGTCAGGATCTGGAGTTGGTGGAGAGGATTAACACAAGTCTGGCTTTCTTCCTCAATGATCTGCTGTCAGTCATGGACCGAGGCTTTGTCTTCACATTAATCAAGACATATTGGAAACAGGTGCCTTTTTTCTACTGTCCGTCCATTCAATACATCTATACATTCAGGAATTGTCTATCTGTCTCTTTATCTGTTCTCCCATCTTTATAGTTATTCTTTTAATTTTCCTTTATCAATTCATTCTTCCATCAATCAAACTTTCTTTTCTTTTTCTCTTTTTCAAGTTAAAGCCTGAGAATAGTAGAAATAGTAAAAAATTAGTAAACTTAAATATTTTTTTTTAAGGGAAAGCAAAAAAAGACCAATAAATCTGAAATGGGAATTAAGAAACTTATATAAGTCTGATATGAAAGCTGTCATGAAATACTGATGCATAAGGACCCTGCTTAAGTTGTACTAATTCAGAATATGACATTTTAAGAAAGATAAAAAAAAAAAAAAAAACTAGAACTGCCTTTTCTGTGAATGTTCTAAAAGATGCGTAAAGTATGTTTTGGTTTTTTAGGGCTTTTGCCCACATGCAGAGCACACTCAGGAGAACGGATTCAGGTTAACAAGAAAAAAAAAGGGGGAAAAGGTAACGGGAGCGGGCAGCAGCTTCAGCTGGGCTCCAGCTGGAAGATGTTCGGAGGCGAGGATGTGGTTTAACTGTAGGGCAGACCGAGGAAGGTTATACGTCTGCAATGGTGCAATTACTTCTGTGTGCTGCAACACTTAACACTCATTCAGAAAGAAAACCGCCTGGGAAGTGATGGAGGAAGATCCAGTTAGGCAAGCAGCTGACAATGGTGCCGGACCGGCAGGAGGACTGGCATTTTTCGCTGCACATGTTTCAACTATTTTTGTCTAAAATAAGATTTTCCTGTACAGCAAAGTTTACACACTGGATCTCTTCTTTCTATGCTTAGGTTTCGACAAAGCTTTACGCATTGCAGAACCCAACTTTGGAGTCTTTACGGCTTGATTTTCTACGAATAGTTTGCAGTCATGAACACTACGTCACCCTGAATCTGCCCTGCAGTCTGCTAACTCCACCTGCTTCGCCTTCTCCATCAGTATCCTCAGCAACCTCACAGGTCAGTCAGAAGTCATCACATAACAATTATTAGATATTTCACAAACTTCTGTTGTTTTAGTTGTAGTCAAAATGGTCATAAATCATACAATAATGTTTTCTTTTATTTAAAAACAGAGCTCTGGGTTTTCCACTCACGTCCAGGACCAAAAAATAGCCAACATGTTTGAGCTTTCCATCCCATTCCGAGAGCAGCATTATCTTGCTGGGCTTGTGCTGTCTGAGCTGTCTGTATTACTGGACCCAGATAATGAAGGGTTAGTTTGTTTTGCAGGATGATTCAAAAGTAAATAAACAGATTCTGATTAGAATGAAGATGGAAATACTGCATTTTCTTATCCTGCTTTTATAACCGTTTGACTGCAGAATGTTTGGTCTACATAAGAAGGTGGTAAGCGTTGTTCACAACCTCTTGTCGAGCCATGACTCTGACCCTCGTTATGCTGACCCGGAGGTCAAGGCTCGGGTCGCCATGCTCTACCTGCCTCTTATTGGGATTGTTATGGAGACCCTGCCGCAGCTTCATGACTTCACAGGTAAAATTGAGGAACTTATTTTTAAAATCAATTTAACCGATGATGCCACGGTTGGTTTAGGAACACACACACCACCGGAGGCTGTGATGTGTGGGGGGGTGTGTGTACCTGTCTAGCCCTCAGAGTGAGGACCATTTTCCCAATTTTAACATCAAACTGAGGACCAGTTGTTGCCAAGTGTGGACATGTCCTTATGTGCTATTTTCCTAACAGTTAGGTTTAGGGCTAAGGTGTCAATTGGGTTAGATGTTAAGAAACAAGTCGTTTATTTGGAACCCCTATAACGTCATCAGTGAAACCTTAATGCCAGTTTGGACATGTAGCAAAAAGTGCAATTTGAACTTAAGAGGTGTGCTGGTATGTCTTCTGCATTCAGTTACCATGTTGATGTAGGATTTTACTTTATCCTAACAAAACTAGGAATATTCTCCTATTAAGAAGAGAGAATACAGTTGGAATTTATAGTAGTTAGATGAGTAAAAAGCTGTCCATAAGGAAAATTTGAATCATTTCACTCTACCTTTTATCCAACTTAATGAAGCGGGTTGGAATCTAATGTGACTAATAGCAAATATGGAAAGAATTTCCAACATAAGTATTTCAACTGCTTCTTTTGGACTTCACATAGCAACTTTACCTTGCACCCTTTAAGATTATCAGTTAAGCTTCAAAGGATGGTGACCTGTAACATGTTCAAGCTAATCTGTAACCGCCATTATTTCTTATCTGGTGTCTTTTGCTATTTTTAAACTTGTGTACTTTGTAGTGTTGAGCTGATGCCATTTTTTGGCCCCGATACCAATACCCGATACCTGGCTGTGCAGTATCGGCCGAAACCGATACCATAATAATGTAAAATAATTGCCATCATGGCTTTGTCAAGCTGCTGCCTACCTTTGTGAAGCAGGAAAAAATCTAATACAAAATAAAACCAGTAGAACTTTTTATTGCCTACCAGGAGTGGGTGACAATAGTTGGATAAACTTATGGCTCTCAAAATGGTATCGGTGCCCTATTTGTTTATACTCTGCGATACCGATACCACCATTTTAGGGCAGTATCGGGGCCCCGTCCGATACTGGTATCGGTGCAACACTAGTACTTTGTAGTGAAAATTTGCTTTTTAAACCTAACTTAAGCTGGCTGTTTACTATTAAATAAATGTTTTAGCTAATTTTACTGCTATTTTGATGTTAATGTTAATGTTTTTCTCATAAATATGTAACTGTTTTTTTGTTGTTTTTTTTCCTTAAAGAATCCCATAATCAGTGGGGGCGTCCCGGATGTCCCCAAGGTACAGCTGTGGGTAGTGGAGGAGAAGAGACAGAAGGAGAGGGTAACAGTATGATTAGTCAGACTGTTGCCATGGCGATAGCTGGTACCTCAACTGCATCTCCAATGTCCCGACCAAGTAGCTTTTTGCTAAACACGCAGGTAGTTTTCTGTTTGCTACGTGAGATAACGAGTCGTGTCTTTCAGTGCATGTTAATTAAAGACTCCATCTCTTATTGTTTTCTCCATCCAATTTGATCTGGGAATTCATTCCAGACGGGTCGCCAGCATGGGAGCTTCTCTGCCGAGTCGAGTCGCAGTCTGCTGATCTGTCTGCTTTGGGTTTTGAAGAACGCTGATGAGCTGGTGCTGCAGAAATGGTTTACTGACCTGTCTGTGTCTCAGCTCAACCGTCTGCTGGATCTCCTCTACCTCTGCGTGTCCTGCTTTGAATATAAGGTAGCATCACTGATGAGTTTTGCAGACGTGGATAAACTAAAAATGCCTCAACCGCCTCAAAATAAATGAATCGTCTGTGGTATAATCATGCCCTGTAGTTGTTGTTGATGCCCATTATGACTTTATTATTTCAGCTTTTAATCTAACATTTCAAAAGGTTTAGGGCATACAGAGAGATGGATGTTTGACTGTTAGACCCACACTGCTCCAGTTCAATGTTCATTGGGCCATGTTTCTTATATCATTTTGCTTGTGACAGAGCGGAAGATACCAATTTCCAGATTTTCTCAAAAGTTCTTCAATACCTCGTTGTTTGAAAGAGCTCTAGAACAGAGGTTTCCAAACTTTTTGACTTGGACTCACAAAATAGAACTATAATGGACTCTTTACCCAAACTATTGGTCCGATTATAAATACTGTATATCTAAAACATCTTTAAACCTCTGATATAAAGGTAATAGAAACAGAACCAACAACCATTACATTTGGTTTGGTCAAAGTGATGTTTTTATATCTTAAACACAGGAATATGTTCCATCGTAATCATTTTTTGTGTTTGGTTTCATTTCTAAAGTTTTTACAATAATGTATTCACAACTTTTAAAGTGCTTTAGCATCTAGCTAGATGTAAAAAACTCAAATGTTAGCAGATTTTCTCAGAGCTCAAAAGTGTTTCTGAAATGCCACCTGCTTTATGTTTAGGATGGTAAGATATAACAGAACCTTTCCTGTATCCTTCCCTCACCGAAAATCAGTATATAAATGGCATTTAATGTTATGGACGATTTATGACCCAACTTGTAATTATGTTAAAAAGTTACTATATATTAGCATGGGTTTTTTTATTCAGTTTAACTAAATAAATTCTTTGACTTTTTTAGTATGAGTTTATTCTACTTCTATGAAAGTTTAATTCATTGAATGCGATCTGCTGCATTTTTACAAAGAGAGACAAAAGAATGTAAAATTTCTGTGTATATTCATATCAGAAGAGTCTTTGTACATTTTCTATAACAAGCAAACGCTGGAAAATGTTTTTAAATCTAGATGTCATTTGTTTCTTAAAATAAGTGCATTTGTTCTTGAATTGAGGAGGTAATTGAGACATATGCCAATGGAACAAGACAATTTAGATTCAAAATAAGAAAACACAATGTAATTGTCTTATTTCAAGTGCATGTTATCTAATCATCTTATTTTAAGAGTAAAAATACTCATTCCATTGGCAAACCGCCTCATTTGCCTACTCAAATTAAGGGTAAATACACTTAATTTAAGAATTTTTTATTTATTTCTAGATCGTTTTTTTTTCCAGTGAATATGTCATTGTCTTTTGTCTTTGGGGTGGTAAAAAAAATATCTGCAGATACTTTGCTTTCTGTGCTACAGCTTTTCATTTTATTATTTTTTTGTTTGGCTTTATAAAAACTTCCTGCTCTGCCATCACTTTGCTGTTAGCTCTTTTGCTTCAATGCTACTAACATGCTCTGCTTGCTGGATGCTTTTCTGCGAGTAACTTCTCCCACTGTGTGTTCTCTATCCTTTCACTCACCATGTTATCCATGGAAACAAGGCCCATGTTGTGTTCACCATGCAGGGAAAAAAGGCGTTTGAGCGCATGAACAGCTTGACTTTTAAGAAGTCCAAAGACATGAAGGCCAAGCTTGAGGAGGCCATACTGGGCAGCATTGGCGCGAGGCAGGAAATGGTGCGCCGCAGCCGGGGGCAGCTGGGTGAGGCTGCACACTCATGCTACATACACACGTCAGTTTGACCTGCATCCAAAACAACATGTATACAGGAAGAAAATAACTAGAAATCCAATTCAGTTGAGTTTATTTATATAGAGCTGGTTTGCAACACATGTCGAAAAAAGTTTAAAAAAATAGTGTTTACCACTAATGGAAATTAACAGACCTCTCAACTTGCCGCTTTACAAACACAGGCATGTGTATCTTTTCATAACACATGAGATAAAGCTACGACTAAAAGGAGTCATGTTTCCCAGTGTAAACACAACCTTTTTCAGCAGCACTGAATAAAGTAAATAATGTTTCTCCATCATTCAGAGCGGAGTCCATCTGGCAGTGCTTTTGGCAGTCAGGAAAACCTCAGATGGAGGAAGGACATGACCCACTGGAGACAAAACAGTGAAAGGATGGACAAGTATGTTCTTTCAGAAGACAGTTTTTTTTTTTCTCATTGTTGTTTTGTTTTCCAGAAAACCTGAAATTTAGAACCAGAAGATCTGAACTTTGTTTCAGCCGTGGTCAGTTTTGTAAGGAAAAGTCTAATCTTTGGGCCGTGGTTTTGCACATCTGTCGTTTAAGTTTAAATATGCTAGATCTTAACAAAGCTTTACTCACTCAACGTTTGTATTGTTATATCCCAAGAGTTGCATGCATTAAACTGAAGATATAATATGTTATGGGACCAGGGTTTAAAATAAATCCAGATTTGGTTGCAGGTCCTAATGCAATAAATTTAATCCTTTTTTCTTCACAGCTAACCCCAAAATATAGATAAATGCTTTCTCATGACGTGTTTTTTTATTGGTTCAGATTCCAGTTACTTTTTTTAATGAATTTTAAATGTAATTTTTTCATTTATTTCCGTTTGATCTGCTATTCTGTTAAGTATCCATAACATTGCAGACTTAAAAGTGCTCCCGCTACCTTTGGTGCCCTTTGATAAAACTATGCAGCATTGCTCCAAATAGGTTAGATCTTTTATAGCTTCAGCATCTTTTTAAATATCCTTTCTAATATAAGCACATAATGTTCAAAAAAATTCATACTTTATTTTTAAATGACCTAGAAACATTTCTTTACTGATAACACCCCCATTCTGCAGGGGTACAAATAAGAAATGGCTCCTCTTCTCTTAGCCCTTCAATAAAAGGTGAATGGGATTAGACCATAGCATTCAAAAGGGTGTATGTGTGATAGCCCTTATATGTTAGGGAATTGCTATAAGAATATACTTACATCCTAAGCTTCCCCCATAAGAACAGTCAAAATGACTTTCTTTATTTATTGAAAACATGTTTCTGCAACTGTGCAAAAAAAATAAATAAATAAAAAAATCATGATAAAGAAGATTATAATAATATCTAAAGTCCACTGTTAGAAACCTGTAGCTAACATTTTTGGGATACCTGTAAATGTGGCAGGAATTAAAATTGTTTTATATGCAAAGTTTCAGTTTCAGAACTCCATTAGACCAACTAAAAGTCTCAGGATTATTTTTTCATTATTTTTCAGAGTAAAAAAATTATTCTAATTTACAACTTTTTCATGTTTTATTTAAAATAATATTAAACTTCATTGCAAAAAAAAAATAATAATAATAAACTCCATTTATTTTTTTGGATTTCATTTCGCATCTTTATAAAAGTCTCCATCAACCTGTTTATCTCTTAATTTCCATTTGTTCTCCCATGTTGCTGTGTGTTTATGTAGGAGTCACAGATCAGTCAGGTATTGTATGCTCTCCATCTGTGTGCTGCTTTGGGTTGCCCCCTGCTTTAGAGCCTCATTAAAGGTGTTTGGTCATGCATGTGAGAAGTGAGCCAGTGAAATTGGAAAACTAAACATTTGTTTCAATAAAAACAGGCAAACTGAACTTTGAACCAGTTGGTAAATCATTTTCGGATGTATTCAGTTATTTTTGATGCACAGGGTAGCTGCTGTTACAGGAGTATCATCAGGGTTTATCATTTATTTTTTTCTCAATTTTAACATTTGAAGTTCTCACATGAGCATGATGGCATAAGCAAAGCCCAGTCCTGGTCCTCATCCCTGAATCCCTTCTCCCTCCACCCCCTATGTCCTGGTAACATCCTATGCTTTTGGGTTGATAGTTGCTGTGGATGTGTTTGGCTTTTTAACCAGAATGCTTCTTGTTTGGGGAGGGGTCAGTATTATGTGTCTCTGATTGTACAAGAAAGAACAAACATTGAATTTGATTTTTTATGGATTCTGTGTCATGACTTAAAGCAAAAACCATTCCAGTGTGATATAGTTTAATACATCTATCATTTAGTACTTCTAGGTGTTCACCATCTATTGATCTAAGTTCAGGTCTTACAGGTTTAAAGTGAACTTATTCAGTTCCCCATTTTATGAGCCACCCAGTCTGAATTAAATTGATTCCCAACATGAACTACTTCTTGTTCTTTCTCCAAATCTAAAGGTCATGATGAATTTCTGCTCCAGTTAGCGTATTGATTATGTCACTGCTCAGCATTTGTGTCCTGGCCTTTGCCAGCTTATTATCTTGTTTGTTTCTCTTATGTTGCCTTGGCTCACGTAAGCTGTTTTTATTTGTCTACATTTCAAATAAAACTCTTAGTCTGAAAGCAAAAATAATCTGAAATGCTATTTTAAAATTCGGCCAATGAAGGCTGGTTTTGTTTGCACCCATTTATAATGCACTGCTTTGTTGGTGTTGGTTTTTTAATCCAGTCCTGATCTGAATTGGTTCAGTTAAACTTATTTACTGACAGAAGGCACTGAGACGCAGGTTCATTCCTTCAACTTGTTTTCGCTGAAGCTACATGCAGGAAGCTTCTACATATTAGCAGCAGCTAATGGGACAGAACATCTGAACAGAATCCATCTTTCTAGCTGTGCAGGACATGAACCTTTTAGTTTACATTGTCAGTTTTAAAGCAAGGGGCGAGGCATTTATATTTGAACAACACCTCTTCTGAAATTTAACATTAGTTATTAGAATACTAACATTTAACACCAGAACACCTGGGTAATGGCTTAATTTTATAACCTAAATGCTTGATATTCCATCATTGTGTTATTCTCAGTGCAGGCCTGGATTTTCTCAAAGTATTTTTTAATTTACTAGTAATTGAGATATAAGTTATAAAGTTAAAGCTCCACGAAATTTCTATTAAGTATCTTTTAGTGAGGTGGAAAAAAATATCTACAATTCCAGACTGCATAACCTGCCTGCTTTTAGCCATCAGTTTTTAGTTTATAGTTATACCTGAAAAGAAATATCTACAGTGAGAATATAGGTAACTTTGTTTAAATTGCTAAAAAAAAAAAAACTGCCTGAGAATTCAGTTGGAGTCTGGAAAGCTGTTTTCAATCCAGTGAAATAGGTTGGGAGTGCTGACTTGCATTAATCAAGGCCACATTACCATCATAATTAGGCAGTGCAATGTGCAGGTTTATTCCTTCTTGTTTTTTTCATGATTGTAGGACACGAGCAGAGCTGGAACATGAAGCACTTATAGATGGGAACCTTGCAACAGAGGCCAACTTAATCATTCTTGATACTTTGGAGATCATTGTGCAGGTGAGCAAGCAAAAAGAACAACAAATACCCAAATTAGTTTTGTTTTTTTGTGAAGGACTTAAGAGAACAATCCTCTAAAACAGTTTCCTCCTCCATTTATTTTGCAGACAGCCTCAGTGACAGAATCTAAGGAGAGTATCCTGGGTGGGGTGCTAAAGGTGCTGCTTCACAGCATGGCCTGCAACCAGAGCGCCCTCTACCTGCAGCACTGCTTTGCCACACAAAGGGCCCTGGTTTCCAAGGTTGGATTTTTAGACCACTACAATTGTTTGTGTATGTTTGTTCCAGAATGAACTAGTGTTGAGCTCTGCTTTCATAGTTTCCAGAGTTGCTGTTTGAGGAGGAAACAGAGCAGTGTGCCGATCTTTGTTTGCGACTCTTAAGAAGCTGCAGCAGTAGCATAAGTACCATCAGGTCCCACGCCAGTGCCTCACTCTACCTTCTCATGAGGCAAAACTTCGAGATTGGTAACGTAAGTAAAAGTGAGAGGCATAAGGCTGCTGAGACCATATAGTGTGTATTAGCTGGATCACAGCAGTTTTAGTTAATTCGTTCATTAGTTTTACTGCATTTAGTGGTTAAAACCTCTCTAAATGTAGTTAATAACGTAACATAACTAAAACTGAAAATTTTTTAGTAAAGCTATCTCTTGCAATGATTTGAATTTTCCGGGATTTACATTAATGAAATCAAAAGTTATTAAAGCAAACATGACTTAAAACCTCACATTCACATTAATCAATATTCTCAACCTAACATGTTGATTTTTTTAATCCATCTGTTACCTACTGTTCAAAGCTGGTTGATTCCTTTATTCCTTAATTTTCCATCTTTTGTCTTTTTTTTTTTTAGAATTTTGCAAGGGTGAAAATGCAAGTGACCATGTCTCTGTCGTCGCTGGTGGGAACGTCGCAGAACTTCAATGAGGAGTTTCTCCGTCGCTCATTGAAAACCATCCTCACCTATGCAGAGGAAGACCTAGAACTCAGAGAGACCACTTTCCCAGATCAGGTAATAATTGGACTATTTTAATCACTCAGCCTTGATAAAGGGAATCCTATTTCAATAAGCTGTTTTTTTCCTCCTACTAGGTCCAAGATCTCGTGTTTAATCTGCACATGATCCTATCTGACACGGTGAAGATGAAGGAACACCAAGAAGATCCTGAGATGCTGGTAGATCTCATGTATAGGTAATGAACATATGACTAACCAGGGAATTACTTCTCTCTTTAAACTATCAGCATTATAAACTCTGGTTTTCTGACTGGTTAGTTTCTTCTGCTCTGACCTTTAGGATTGCAAAGGGATACCAGACATCTCCAGACCTGCGTCTGACCTGGCTTCAGAACATGGCCGGCAAACACTCAGAAAGGAATAACCACGCTGAGGCTGCTCAGTGTTTGGTGCACAGCGCTGCTTTGGTAGCAGAATACCTGAGCATGCTGGAGGACCGCAAGTACCTTCCTGTAGGCTGTGTCACCTTCCAGGTAAGGAAAGTTCTGCAAGAAATGAAATCAAATTTGGAAATCACATATTTGAATATTTATTCTATGATTTTCAGAACATTTCTTCAAATGTGCTGGAGGAATCAGCTGTCTCTGATGATGTGGTGTCACCAGATGAAGAGGGTATCTGCTCGGGAAAATATTTCACTGAAATTGGTCTAGTTGGCCTCTTGGAACAGGCAGCTGCCTCTTTTTCCATGGTGAGAGACTAATGCTTGTCTGCATGTGGTTCAGTCCAAGAGTTTAGAGCAGATGGCTTTGTTTCTGGCCAACTCTTAATTTGGCAGCTCACTATAGCGCTAAAGGCTAAATCGACAGCAATTGGTGATTTTTGTGACATTTCCATAATTGCTTTGTGAAGTATTCTGGTTTTCTGTTAAATTTTGTTAATTTTACACAAAGTTAATCACAATAAATGTCATATCAAGCTACTTCTCTGTACGTACATTTCCCAATTCATCTTCAGTTATTTAGAAGCCAATTTTGTCCAGATTTAAATAAAATAATTCCAGTTCCATACCGTGAAATTCAACAATGTTACAAAATTGTAGTAAAGTTATTATCAAGATCCAGAATAAATATAATCTATCACACAAAGGAAGGTTAATAGAACAGGATGCGAACCCAGCAAGCAAACATGGATACACTGGACCTGGAATCACAAAGGGAATTAATATAGTTACTAGTAGTGGTTAGCAGTGATGGGAAATGTACTGAAGAGTAACTAGTCATAGTTACTAGTTACTTTTCCAAAAGTTTGTTACGGTAACTCAGTTACTGCACAGGTAAAATAACCAGGTACTTATTATGATCGAAAATGTCAAAGAATTTGGAATAATTTTCCTGTTATTGGAAATTTACTGGAAGTTAAGTTTTGAAATCTAAGAACTTTGGTATTAACTAATGAGTAAAATGAATAATTAAAAAAACAATAACTAGAGCTTTTCTGGATCAGAGATCCTTCTAACCTACTGTTATAAAGTTTTTGTTCCTATAATTGGGAAAATGATTTCAGAGCTTGTTTCTTTACGAGCACCCTCATTGAACCAGTGGCTCTGCACCATCATCCTCTCCTCTTATTCTGTTCAACGCTTGCCAACACGCGCCAGCTTGCAGCACCTCAGCCTATCTGCGTCACGTATGCGTATCTCCACTCCCTGCTGCCGGACCCTGCTGTACAAAGCTCTCCCTGCTGCAGAGGGTGTGCGAAAAGTAACTTACTATTGTTACAGATACATAAAAAGTAATTAGATTACTTTTAAAATTAAAAACTAACACATTTACTTATAACGTTTTAATGTAAGGTTGTTACTCCCTACACATCACGTCCGGAAAGAGATGTAGCTGAAGAAAGAGACATTGTCCTCAGACTCCTTTCTGTGGAGAAACTAACACAAAATGCTCAAAGCTTTTAGTTTTGTGCAATTAAAACACACACAGGTGTCCAGTCATGGTTATTTCTCCTAATTTGATGACAAATAATGAGATTGTTGATTTCAGTGAATGATCCTGTTCTGAAGTTGCCTTGTTCAACAGGCTGGAATGTATGAGGCGGTGAATGAAGTGTACAAGGTACTAATCCCAATCCATGAAGCAAACAGAGACGCTAAGAAGCTAGCCACCATCCATGGTAAACTACAGGAGGCCTTTAGCAAAATTGTCCATCAGGTAAATGCACATCACATGAAAAGACTCACATTTGGAAGATTTTTACTTTGTTGGGTTAAATGTTCACTTAGATCATAAAAAAATAGGTATCTATTTTGGATGATCCATATTAGTCCCGACATTCTTGTGCTTCTCATGTATAGATTTCTGTTTTTAATGATCTTCACGTTGCATGTTTTTAAAGTTGACATACAGAATCAAACAGTCCACTTCTGAAATTGTGCACTTTTGTTATATGTCACATTGATAAAACACTGGAGAGTTTCAAAACATTTCTTTGAGGATTTCACAGAATGAAGGTTATTTTCTGCGTTCATCACCATTTTAAACCAAGCAGTGAAACCAGCTTTCACACAGACACAATATTGCACGCTATTATTTACCATTTTATTTCCAGTATGTTTGTTTCTTGTTGTTTTTTATATATATTTTGGGCTCCCTTTATGTTTTCTTTTGTTATTCTTTAAAAAAAAGGATGCATGAGGTGTCAGTGGCAAGTCCAACAGTGGTCTTTCTCATATTAAGAATATTAGATTCTTATATGGGCATGTATGTAGTCATCTGATGTACAGCTTTGCATTACTGAAGTTTAAACGTCGACCAAAGCGAATACTTAATTGCCTAATTTATTTTTAATAATTCCCTGTTAGATATGATCATTGTTCTCCAATCCGGAATAGTTTCCAAGTGGAGCTATTCTCTTGGTAACATCATCCTGTGCATGTATGTACCATCCAGAGATGGGTAAATCAGGCTTCAGAAAGTAAAACAAAACCTTATTGCCTAAACAGGTGATTTGGGCTCAAACTCAAATCCTCAATGGTCGATGTCCTGCCACCTTTAGATGTGTCCCACAAACCTTCATCAAATACTCTACCACGAGCTCAAGCTCTGCTAAAAATCTCATATTAGCATGAGGTTTGTTAAAGCAGAGACATCTAAAAGTTGCAGGGCTTCAGCCCCTGAATACTGCAGTTTGAAACCGCAATTCCTGCAGTAGAGCCGGAAATGCAAAAGGTTTGGAGCTAATAAATGGACAGGCTTTTTTGTGAACTCTCTGAACCTGGAGTAGCAGCTCTGGTTTGGGGTGGTTGTTAATGTCTGGTCTTCACATATCCTGTATTCTCTTTGTTACACAGAGTACTGGCTGGGAGGTAGGTGGTTAAATAGTTCCTGCTTGGCCCTGCTCATGTTTATCTCTCTTTTTTTGTTTGTATTTTTATTTATTCTCATCTTTTTATTTGCCAACTGCGAGCGTTCTGTTGCTCTTGCTTTATTTCATTCATTCAGCCCATTAACAGCCGCAGACATTCCCAACTGTCTGCCCTGCTGGGAATGTTGCTGTAAATATTCACCAAAGCCCTCACCTGTCTTCTTGTCTCTTCCCTGATCTTCTTGTCCCAGAAGGAGCTTGTTTTTATTTTTCTAAATGCGAAAGTGCTGAATGGCTGTGCATGACAGCCACGAGATGACACTAATGACTAAAAAGTCTACATGAATGCATCAACAGCACAGGCCGCACCTAATCCACCCTCATCTCCTAGCTGCTGGTGTCAGTCAGCACTCACTCATGAACTGACACCGGCCCGCTGTCACTCTTCATCCCTCCTCATCTTCACGTGCAGGGATCGATTTCAGTATGCTGTTTATACATGAAGGGTCGTTCTTGCATTAATCAGGCTTTTAAAACAAGGGTGCTAGAAACTTTGGGTTGAAGCTGGAATCAGATTATCAAAGCTGCCAGTTTTTTTTTTTGTCATAAAGGTTCAACTAACAGTTATCCTTGATTTTTTTTTTTCTATTGATTTTAATTTACAATTATCTGGACTTTTTTTTTTTTTCTTTTAATTCTGTAAGCTTAATCGACCCCTGATTTTTATTATTATTCAATTATTTTTCCATCCATCCTTTCATTGTGTTAACAGTATTAACCTCTGAGTGAGTTTTCATGGTTTTATTGCATGATTGGGTTCACATTCTTTTTGCTTTTGGAGTTGCACGAAGGGGGCATGGTGTGTTTAAGGGTAATGGTTCTTTATTTCCGACTTCTACTCCCTCTTTTGTCTTCCTTTGCATGGTCTGGAACATTAGAAAATCATTGCAGATACTTTTGATCTTGTGTGCTGGTTTATGTTGTTTTTGTTGATTCTTTGGGGCAACCCCATCCTGATTAAAATTTGTTCTTTTTTCTCCTTTTTGATTTGCCCGGTTGCTGACCCTTCCCTCCCACTTTACTTAATTGTGTCTTGTGGTAAGTGCATTAGTTTTAAGGGTATTGACAGTATTGGGATATTTTTAAATGTTTCAAAAACCTTCCGGGGGATTAGATTTGAACCCTGCAAAGGATATTTTCAGCTCCAACCTTAAACACACACAAACAAAGACACTGTTAAACTTAATCCTGGTTGTTTTTTTTGGTATTTTCTCTTGTAAAGTTTTTTTGTCTGTGCAGAACAGAATTTGTTGTAACCGAAGGTCTTTGGTGGGTTAACCATCAGTGAACATCACAGGCTGTGCTTTTTAGGGCTTTCATGTAAAATAGTTGTTGACATTTTTGGTTTTTTCCTCAGTATTTCTCAGTATCTCATTATGTGATGACAACAAAAAACTAAGGTTTTGATTTCCCCCCTCCTTTTTTCCCCCTTGTAAATTTAATCATATTTGTTCTCTATCAAAATCCAATGAACAGCCTTCTGAGGCTTTAGGGCTTCTCCCAGATTTAATTTTCATTTTTGATGTGTTAGACTTTTGCAGACTGTGTAGTCATAAAAACAATATTTGACATTTTTTAATAAAAAGAAATTTGTTTCTCACTTTCCCCTTAAAGAATTTACTGATTTAAAACTAAGTCGTTGAGTTGACTGTCCGAATGACTTGTGTGGTTAGCATTACAAACGGTTACTAATCTGTTTATTACCCAGAGGAATTGCAGATACTTGAATCCAAACTTAGATTTCCAAAATGTTCTCGATATTCCCAAATCCAGGTCAGATCCACACAATTTAGTAAGCACCATCCATTTCCCATCAACTTTGAGTGGCTTAAATGCCTCTACTGTATAAAACTGTCCTCCCACCCTGTGCTTCTAACACCATGTTTCTGAGCATAGGGATGAGCAAAGTTGATATAATTTATTGGTCTAAAGGTTCAGTTCTGGTCTTACTAACCGGAGCTCCCTCTTTAGACATTTGGTGTTTCACGCGCGTGACTCCTACACCTCGGATGTTCTTTGAGGCCTTCATAGAATGACTGGATTTATACTGAGATTAAACATTGGTTGTTTTCTTGGTTTTAGATTTTATTAGTAAAGAGGGTCAAAGACAATAGCAGCCAAGAGTCTCAGAGTTTTATTATCGGAAGCAGTGGAAAATTGTATATGTATTTTCTTCTATCTACTGTTTCATTCAAAAATCCTAATAAGATGTGACAACATGAAGAAGTTTAAGGGGTGGGAATACTTTTGCATGGCTGTGTGAGAGGCCACTGTTAATGTGAAGATAGTTGTTCAGAAGCCTTTCACTGGAAAGTCTTTCACCTCTTTGATATATTGAGGGATGAGAAGAGTTTCTTGAAGCACTTTAGTCCGGCTCCTTTACCAAACCAACTGATCAGGACAAAAAGTCTTTAATTTAAAGGGAAACGCCTTTTTTTTTTTTTTTTTTTCATTGGGCCCTTGATGTACGTTATTACGTCATGTTCTACTCACCCATATGAGTTGTGTGTCATTAGGAGCTGTTCTGAAGATATTCGGTTAGGTTATATCCAAGTAATGTCTTCCTATGGGCAACGACTTGAAGGCACAAACTAAACTGTTCATAATTGATCATTTATGGTAAACCGGCATTCATAACATGTAGGTGAATCACTGTCCCCCAGACATCCGCGGATATATTTTCTATATTTATATCTTTTAAAAACGAAGCGGCGCGTCTATGACGTCATCGGCGTGCGCCGGCTACTGTTCATTCTTCCTGTCCGCTGAACTGCTGCTAGTTTTACTCACATGCCTGGAAGATGTCTAGTGCTACTACCACAGATGATCTCCCTCTAGAAATGGAATTGAACGATTCAGATTAGCTAGAATGAATAGAAGGGGTAGAGCGTAGCCGCCTGTTGCCCGGGCTGCCTGTCACAATTCCAGTACCATGCCGTGATTTCTGCTTTCATCGTTACCACTGAGGCAGCATTGGTACAGTGACAGACTGTCAGGGTACATGTGAACGGAATTAGCCTGAAACAGCAATAGTAGCAAAAAACCCTTTGAAGTGATCCATTGAATGACCCTTATAGAATATAAACTCTGATGAGTCATCATACCTGTTCCAAACTTTGTGTTGCTAATAATGGTTCCCTGTTCTGGACATTAGAGCTATTATTTGGTGAAATCACTTAAGCTCCGCCCTCCAAGAACAGGAAGTTGAGGCGATGCGCAGCTTTAGCACCTGTTTTAGACTGTGACTGCGGCCCAACGCTGCTTAAGGTTTAAATTGTGTTTTACTTTGTAACACAAGGTAGAGTGCATTATAAAGAGCATTTATCAATACTCTAAAATGTTTATTATTAGGACCTCCAACGCCACTGAGTAAATAAACTTAATCTTTCTTTTCTCATTCAGTCTGCCAGCAGCACATGTCATTTTCTCATTGGAATGGGGCAGAAATGAATCGGCTCCATTTCTTATAATTTGCACACAATATCTTTGCACAACACGTCCTAAAAATTCATATACATTTTTTTCTTCCTGCACAATTTAGTGCTCCTAATTTGGGTTCTCTGAAGATCAGGCTGTTAGTGTTATCCATTGTGAGATAAGCTCACAGAGAAGCTTGTGCCTGCAATTAGGATATAATCTGGATTAGACTTTTTAAAAATTAGAAAGGAGTGTTAACCTTTTCCAAAGATGAGTCTCAGCCACAGCAGAACTCAACTTTTGGGAACTTTGTGTTTTTACTATATTTGGTAAACATTAACCCTCATGTTTATACCTAGAGGATTATTTCTTCACCTGTTCCAAATTATGTAGACGTTTTTAACCTTTGTTTTATTTTCTAATCCCAGGATGGGAAGAGGATGTTTGGTACGTACTTCAGAGTGGGTTTTTATGGTTCAAAGTTTGGGGACTTGGATGAGCAGGAGTTTGTCTATAAAGAGCCAGCCATCACCAAGCTGGCTGAAATCTCTCATAGACTCGAGGTAAGCGCCACTTCAGTGCCTTCCATTTTTTAAATTGTCCGTTCTCCTCATTATAAAGTTAGAAGTGTAAAGACCCCGCCCTGTTTCCTGTTAGAACTTCTATGGGGAGCGATTTGGAGAGGAACAAGTCGAAGTCATCAAGGACTCCAACCCAGTAGATAAATGCAAACTTGACCCCAATAAAGTATGTACTGATTGAACCCTTAATTTTATTTTAAATCTACTGGCATAATACCCACCTCTTAATTTGTGGGTATTTGTTACCTTGGCAGGCCTTTATCCAGATCACATACGTGGAGCCATATTTCGACACGTACGAAATGAAAGACCGCATCACCTACTTCGATAAGAACTACAACTTGAGACGTTTTGTGTACTGCACTCCCTTCACCCTGGATGGCCGGGCTCATGGGGACCTGCATGAGCAGTTCAAACGCAAGACCATCCTCACCACATCGCACGCCTTTCCATACATCAAGACCAGGATCAACATCATCCACAAGGAGGAGGTAGGAGACGAATTTACAGATGGTTCTATCAGCTCTGAAATTATCTGTTTTCAAGGTTTCCGCAGGTTATTAAAAATCATTAAAAGTCATAAAATTAAACGAATTAAAATTCATTAAATGTGATAATCTTGGCATTTAAAACAATTTCGTCAGATATATCAGATATAACTGGTTCTGTGTGTTTGCGCGGAACTGCTTCCAGTTAATTGTAAAGCCGTATGTTCAGATAATAAGCTTGAGGCTTCCATCAAGAAAATGGGAAAAAACAAAAAGTGGCTGGGATACCAGAAAGTTGAGACATGGCTGCAGCCTGTCAATGGTAAAGATGATGGATTTTTCTGTTTTATATATATACACACACACCATTTACACACAAACACACACCTAAGGAGAATTAAGAAAAGCCAATCAACCTAACAGGTCATGTTTCGGGACTGTGGAAGGAAGCAGGAGTACCCGGAAAAAAACCATGCATTGTAAACTCCATGCAGAAAGAATCGGGCCAGGAATCGAGCCCAGATCATCTTGCTGCAAGGCAGCAGTGCTACCCACTGCGCCACTGTTGTTGAAACAAATGTAGTATTATTTGTGCTGCACAAATTAACAATATGTTGGGGGAAACGAGTGCTGCTGTTTCTGTTGCTGCAGTGAGTCTGTTTTCTACGTCTAGATCATTTCCACACCCATAGAGGTGGCAATAGAAGATATGCAGAAGAAGACGCAAGAGTTGGCCTTTGCCACCCATCAGGACCCAGCCGATGCCAAAATGTTGCAGATGGTCCTGCAGGGATCTGTAGGCACAACTGTTAACCAGGTTAGACATGAGCAAAAAAAAAACAAAATACCTCTGAGGCTATTTGATTAGATTTTAGTTGGTTAATGCTCATTTGGAATGTTTTTAGGGTCCTTTGGAGGTGGCTCAGGTGTTCCTGTCAGAAATCCCAATTGACCCAAAACTATATCGACATCACAACAAGCTCCGCCTGTGCTTTAAGGACTTCACTAAGAGGTACGTCAAGTCTTTGAATTATTGGAAAATTCAACAGTGAGGTTTGCATCATTACTTCTTCATTCCCTCAAATCTGCTTCATCTTACGGAGATTACCTTTTATCCATCCGAGACACTACGATGTTGCTAGCAACTAACCAACATTTGTCCTTCCAAAGGTGTGAAGACGCCCTCCGAAAGAACAAGAGCCTGATTGGTCCGGACCAGAAGGAGTACCAAAGGGAGCTAGAGAGGAACTACCACAGACTGAAGGAGGCGCTGCAGCCCCTCATCAACAGGAAGATCCCCCAGCTTTATAAACCAGTCCTGCAGGTCAACTCGCACAGGTGAGAGAAAACATGCCGTCTGTCTGCGTTTCCTTCTTCTTTTTGGGTGTCCATTAAAACCAGTGTTTTGTTTCTGTAATAATCATGCAGCAAACGGACAGCTTGATAAGGTAGTTCAAAAACTACATGTTGTGTTTTGTGTTGTCATTTAGAGATAGTAGTTAGTAGTTTTCTCAGATAAAAAGGAACAAATCTGCAGCACAGTCCAGTGTATGAAATGAAAATAGTTATATTGGCAACAGATACAAATATGAATAATGCTTTTATTGCTATGGATTGGGATGGGGTCCTCCTAATTGTCAATCATTCTGGTAATATGTTTACATAAGGCCATACGTGCTCGTCCCCATTTTCACCTACCGGTGGTGAGTCTGACATAGTGGAAAAAATGCAAATCTCCTTTTGGAAAGTAAGCTTGTATGAGCAATAAAAACAGCAACTTTTAAAGAGAGCGTGCACGAGGAGAAATGGGCTTGTGCACGCTCTCACACGAGTTTAATAGGCGTTCTCTCTCAGGAGCGGATACAGGTTTGTTCATTTGCATTTCTTTTTTTAAAGTGGAGAGGGCGGGTCTTTTCAAAAATTCGCAAAAATCCTCCACTATACCTTTAAGGGGCTAATAATAATAAAAACAACCTGTCACCCTAAATATCACCATTAATATAATGTTTTATGATTTCAAAAGTAGATACCTGAATGCCAAAGCATTTATATCCTGTGAAACTGCCATATTACATCCAAAATCCATTAATGTCATTTCATTGGCATTTAATGTAATAGAATAACAAAATAGTACCCAACACCGGTGGAAATAGCTAGACAATAAGAGCAGCAAAGAAATGGCAAAGATGTCTCTGTCTGTAAAAATGCAGCAAAGGTCAATTCTTCAAAGTTTTTATCCAGGGCTAAGCTCAGCTGCAAAAGGAATCTAAGAGCCACCGGTTCTGTTTCCTCATGATAGTTGTGCTGCTCTGTCAAATAAAATGCCTGATATTTTGGAACAGTTAATTGAAAGGTTGAAAAGTTCAAGGGATATGATTACTATTGCAAACCACTGAATTGTCCCAAACCTTTTAAATTAAGCCTCTCTGCCTCCATTTTTGTCTGTTACCCAGGAAAAGACTATAAAAGTTTAATTATTTGTGCCTTGAATGAAAACATTTGATTGTTTTTATTTTGCAGAGATTCCTTCAGCAGACTCAGTCTTCGCAAGCTTGATATTTGAAGATGAAGAGAATGCACTCAGTCATGGAAGAGAAGTTACTAAATTAATTTATTTTGAAGTGTAAATAGGAGTGTCTAAAGGTGGTGTTTTGAAAAGGGTGAGGGAGAACGGGAAGGAGTTGCAGCTTGGTACATCATTCCAGTGTCTTAATTTGTTTCTAGACAAGCGGTTAAACGCAACCAGCAAAGTCAACGAGGATTTTGCTGTATGTTTCTGTAGGGATGTTTTTCCCTTAGCTATCTTAAATAAATAATCTAAACACTTGATACCAACAGAAGCGTCAAGCTGTAAACCAGTGAATCGTGCTCTGAGCCCTGGATAAGTGCCAAACCCCTCCCCTTTTTACAGCCAAAATTTTTACAAGTGTCCACAGAAAAAGGTACCACTTTAAAAGTTGAGGTTTATTTAATTCTGTACGATGTCTCCCAAAAAAAAAAAAAAAACTGTATTTAATTTCATTTGTGCACTTTTTTTATTATTATGGCGTAGCAATGCATTGATGACTTGAAAGTTTATGTATTGGAATATGTGGAGGAGCAGAAAACAAAAAAACATGGAAAAAGTCGTACCAGTATTTATCATGACGCTTTATTATTTTATGTTAAAGCAACAATATTTTAAACTTCGGTACTTAAAACATACTTGTATAATTTTATGTAGTTTTGTTTTACTTTAAATATTTTACTAAATAAATATTTTAATGTTCAGATTGTGTGAGTTGTTATTTTTTCACTGTTTGTGTAATAGAACCTATTTCAATTAGCCAAGTGTAACAGTTTAATGAACTTTATTTAGGTTACTCATCGAGGGTGTTATCAAGTCATTGTTTGTAATAACTTCTGTCATGTCATGTAATAACCCTAACCCCCTTAGCTTGAATTTACCAAAATCTCAACCATATATCACTCCATACAATGAACCATTTATATATATTAGATATATTAAATCCCTAAAACTCTTAACTTCACATGAAATTGTATTTATTGGCTATATGATTTACGCAATTACTAGTAAAACTTTTAGCAAAAAAGTGACATTATACAAGGGAAAACATGGGTAAAGTTAAAAATGGTGCTCCTAATAAATATTCCAATCTAAAGTTATTTAATGCAGGTGCTTTCTGATTTGACTATTTAGGGCTTCTTTTTTGTTGTAAAAAAATATATATATACTCTGAAAAAATGGGATATATAGACCTTATCGTGCAATCTTGTCAGTTTAAATTCCACAAACTAAAAAAATATACTGCAAAATATTTCATGTCTTGTTCAAGGAGCACCGAGGTTGTTTTAATGGACCCAATTTGTTGATGATCTACTGGGTGTGTACTGCCATCTAGTGTTATCTAACAGTACTGCAGGGCAGAAAAGTTTTCTGAAAGTTTTTTAGCTCTTGGATCATATTTAGTTAGCAGGAATCAAATTTTCTCAGGACCTTGAATGATTTTTACACACAGAAACTGTTAGGAAGAAGATCCAGCAGAGCACACTCACTGCAGCACTTTTAGAAGAGCTTACGCAGGATGTGCCGGTCATCTTCTCTAGCATTTCTGGACGGCATTGATTTGGCTCATCCACAAGTAGGGCTGTGTTCATTGTTATTCCTGTATGTGATTGTTAAACCCTAATAATACCTGCCTGTTAAGTGTCAACCCTAACGTTTATCCAAGTAGGACAGCAAGTCTATCAGGATAAACATTTATCTTCATTATTTACATAAAGATTTGGGAATAAAATGGGAGCAGTGGATTATTCTTAACAGAGAGCTCTGTCATTGTGCATTCGGATTGTCCTTGACATGAGAACACAGTATTATCTTGATATGGCTGGAGCCAGTGAAGTCTCTTCATTTACAAATGTGAATGATGTAACGATGTGGCAGGGTATGATGTATAAAATGCTTTTAATCGTTATTCTGGGCTGCTGACTGACAAAGCAAGCCTGATGGTATATCAATGCCAGCTATCTGGTCTGAGCAAGATTACAATTTTGGAAAAAGCTGTTCATATTTTTTGGTCATTTAAAACAAACTTTTTAAGGTGTTATTTAACACCGTAAAAAGTTTAAGGACAAAGTTAAAAAGTGTAAACATGGACCTTTCCTTTACAAAAGGGTGTTTCCACCCAGGTTCGAACCGAGAACCTCTCATAACTGCTACGCTACAGAAGCCTTCTGTGACTTGTCCAGCTTTACCAAGAGGAAAAGAGTAGCTAACATTTGCAGACCTAGAAAATTCTGGAAGCTGTGTAGAATTTTATAAAAAGCAGCTGCCAGATTCTTCCCCTAGAAGCAAACCAAGATTCATATCATGCATATACAATGCAGCTGTGTTTTGAAAAAAAAAAAGCCCATGTATAGATAAATACACACACAACTGCATATGTATACAAAATAATTTTCTTCTACATATTTACACTTAGAATGTCTTTATTTGCAAGATGAAATTAAGTTTAAAGTCCTTGTCTGTGACTAAACACGTCAAAGCTGGATTTGATTTCCTTTGCATTACTTTTTCCTGCATAGCTTAAAAAAAGAATCGGTGATAAGTGGGTATGGTTATTACAACGATAAGTGCTGAGGTAGGAGGAACCCATGAAGGCTTCCCAGAAGTCCAATTTATCCTAGATCTTCCAGAATAATTCCAAATGCAGAAAACTTTTTGAAAATTTTGTAATAAAGGAAAAAAATAAACTTCTTGTCTTGATTTTATTGACAGTTTTACTGAAAATAGCTTTCTCAGTTCTAATAATCATAAGGGACAGAAACCAAAGAAGTAACAACAATGAAAGTCAGTGTCAAAAATGATCCAATATAAACAAGCAAGAATATACAAAAAGGCTTAGTCATCCCTGATGTGTACAAAAAAATAAAAAGAGTGTCTTTATTGGGTTTTAGAAAGTAACCCCCAGCTTAGAGTGCATTAAAAGAGCCTTGGTCCTGGAGGAGAGTAGCAGGTACACATTTTTAACAGTAGAAAAACTTGATTATGCATAATTGGCAATAAATGTTTTTGGCACCAAAAATTAGACATACTTTATTCTACATCTATACTGTGTTAGTTTTATTGACTGGGCTCAGGAATCCTTTTGTAGAACAGAAGGTATGGTGTCGATGAGGAACACGTCTCGGGGGAGCAGGCTCGCAGAAAGTCCTCCTCGTCAAATAAACGCACCTCTGAGTCATCAAACAGCAGCCATTTCCCCTCATACTGCAGCAGGCCGCTCAAAGCCTGCTGCTCTGTAGCCTCCCTGCCTCCAGAGGGAGCCACTGGTGCCTCCTCTGCTTCCTTTTTTAATCCGTCCGTATTCTGGCTGGAGCTGTTTAAAGTCCTCCTACGTTTCGATCCCTCTGTGGCTCCAGAGCTGCCTGCTTTTCTCCCGCTTCCCAGCTCGCAATTGGACAAACTCCTCTGTCCTCCCAGGAGTCCAACACTACCTTCTGAAAGGTTTTTGCTCCCCGATTTAGTGTTAGCCAAACCTGCTCGAGTCTGCCCTCTGGTGCTTAGGCTGACTGACACTTCTCCATCGTCATAGGCCAGATTTTCCTCTTTCAGTACACCCCCTTTATTTTCCTTCACCTCCTCCTCCATTTCTCTCTCTTTATCGTCCTGTTGCCAGACCTTTGCTTCTTTCAGATCAGACATGCGGATGTAGGTGGTGTAGTGGCCGCTGCTGATGGTGACGCCGCTGTGCATGACCACAGCAAACAGGTCGTACTGCTGCTGCATGGCTGCAGAGGGCTTCGTACACCACTCCTTCAGAGACAGCGTCAGCGGTGTCTGTAAGGGGGTGTTCACTTTAGACAGGCCTGCGTATGGATCCAACCTGTGAGGAAAACGGAATCAATAATGGACCTAAAAGCAAACAAAAGCCATTTCTGCTGACCACCATTTTAAATCAGCCTGTGGACTCACTCTAGGCTGCTGGTGGAGAAGCGCTTCAGGTGAATAGTGATGACTTCAGGGGTTTTATCAAACAGCAGACTCCTCTCAGCCTCTGTGTAATGATGGCAGGTTTCACAGAAGTATTTATCTTCCCCTACGATGCGCTCCACCGAGGCAAACTGAGAGATGGCCCACGTCAGAGTCTTCATCTCAGGTTTAGGGTCTGGAGAGACTGAAATAACAAAAAAGAAAAGGGCTTGACTTTCATTTAAAATACCAGAACCATACTTTCTATGAAAACCATATTTTAAGGGTAAGGGTTAAAGTCGGTGCAGGAAATATAACCAGCAATCTCTACACCAAAACTAACGAGATCCCCACCATGCATACATGTGATGAAACTATTTGCCACCATGACAGATTTCCTGGAGGGCATGAAGCTGCTGATTAAAAATAAAACCTGATTATTCCAAATCAAATCAGATACTGTGATTTTTTCTTTATTTATTTTCATTAAAGCAAACAAATAAAAGACAGAAATATTTTAAAATCTTTCTTTTATTTCCACCATACCATCTGGAATTTGACCTGAATTCAAAGCGCAACCAAAAACAAGCTGTGAAACAAGCCTGTAAAACTGGTTGCCTTATAACAATAAAATTCTAAAAATAAGTTGGCACCTAGCGGGATCACACAAAGAGCTAGTTTATGAGTAGAGACAGACATACATCTGCTTTGAGGTCTTGTGGTTTGCATGCATTGCTGCTTCCTCCATTTGCTTTCCATTTTTAATATTTCGTTTGATTTAAATATTTGTTTTCGTTTAAATTAAGACTTGTGTGACATTTGTAATCAGTCATCTTTAGAATGTAAATTAAATCAATGTGTGCAATTCCCATTCATAAAGGCTTTCTACAATCTAATATTTGTTAGAACAGACACTAGGTTCTATGCCGGCGGCTGTATTTGGTCTGCAGGCTGGATGAAGCAAATCAGCATCCAAGAAGCTATGGCTTGTAAAAAGTGGAGATGGGATTGGGACAGAAGTAAAATGGAAAGAATTAAGAACATCTATTAGGTTAATCAGAATGTATAAAAGCATTTCAGCAAGAGAACAGCTTATAAAAGTCATTCACGATGATGGCCTGAGGCTGCTTTAGGGACCGTGAATTCTGTCATCAGTTCAGAAGACACAGGTCTGTAGATGGGCTCACCTTCAGAGAGGTCTTCTGGGCTGCTGGGTTGGTCATCAAGCACGGGAACGCTGATGTCCTGGAAGTCCTCTCTCCGCTCCGTGAAGCTCTCACACTCTAGACAGCGAGTTCGCAGCACCAGTCGGCCCTGGAACAGCTTCTCCATCAAGCCCAGGGCGTCTAGAACAAACAACAAAGTTCTGTCAAATCATGCAGCAATATACATTAACCATTTCAGCCCTTTTATTGAGCTTGAGAGTTATCGGTTTCACTTTTCATTTAGACTCAATACACTGTCTCCCAATCCTCCCTGTAGTGTAGTCTATAGTCCTGTCTCATTTGGTTTCTCATACCTTGACGTTTCTCTGTTTTCCCTTCAGCAGAAGTTACAGAAGCAGATTGGGGAGCGCTCCTCTCCTTTGGCTCTTCTGATGGCCCGTTTTCCTGCTCTGATTTGATCAGATTTTTTACCGCTGTGGAGCTGATCTTCCCAACGCTGCAGAACTTAGAAAAAATACTTGGCTGCTTCCCTGACGATCTCAGCCAACCTAGTGTGGCTTTAATCTTCCTTTTTCCACGCGTCTCCTTAGTTGCTGCTTTGTCAACCTTCCCTCCTTCGTTCCCTTCCTCCTCATTCAGGTTTTTTGCCTTCTCCTCCTCTCCATCTTTACTCTGAGCGCTTTCCATGAGAGTCTCACTGGAGGACTTCCTCTTGGAGCGAGTGAAGTGTTTGTTTCTACTGAGGTCTTCCTCTGCAGACTCAGATTTCTTGGACTTGGCAGACTTCGGCTTCTTCTTAGCATTTCCCACCTCTGTGTCACTCTTCCTCTTCCCGCTGACTTGTCCGTCCTCATCTGCAGAGGCTTTTGACTGTGTCCCAGAGCAACTGAAATCCGATGGACTACTGTTCTGTGTTTTCACATCTCCGTCGTCCTTTTCCAGCTCCTGCTCCTTTCTGATGGTGTCGCAGGCCTCCTGAATATATCCCAGAATGCACTGCAGGACCTCCTGAGCATCATGCTGGAGATAGCCTTCATACATAGGGTTCAGCTGCCTGCGACGTAAACCAGAGCAGATACTGTAATCAGTGTTTATAATTAACACCATAAAAAAACAGAGTGAACTCATTCCTGATTTTTTTTATTGAACTCTTTAGGTATATCAGACCAAAAATCTTTCACTATCTCATAATTCAGCCAACTGCCTGAAATCCAGCTGTCTTTGGTAATTAATGTTTTTGCATCCTACCAGCACCAGATTAATTGTACCTAATGGTGTGAAGTATTTTACGAGGCGGGGTGGCCAGCTCTCCGTCGCTGAAGCCTTCAGGGTTGAGCAGGAAGCTGGACTGCAGCTGCTCGATTGAAGTTATGAGGCTGTTGAAGCTTCCGAGGAGCTCGATGTTAGCTGGCAGGGTCCCAGATGCACACTCTGACTGCTGACGCTGAGGCTGAAGAAATAAAATCCAAAAGGTTTGTTTGAGGAAAGCTTTGCCTCCAAAGCACAAAAGCTGTATTTGTTTATTTGGGATGAAACTTTACATAAACAAATCAAAACACTTTTTTTTTTATATCCGGAAGACAGTTTTTAAAAACAAAAATGAAGCAAACCTTTTCATCTTTATCATTTTCATCCTTCGCTCTCTCTCTGCTTTTGGAAAGGTCATACAACTTCTTAACACCTTCTCTGAACCCAGGACAGTAATATAGAACCTGCAGATGAAAAACAACTGATGTTTTAGCAGCACATTCTTCCCAGGAATAAATTCACAGATTAAATTTAAATGTTAAATTTTGGAAAACCAAATAGTTGACGCATATCCCTTGAACAAACATTTGGTTCTGATGCTTTTAGCTTGCTTAGCAGCCAGCTAGCTAGCTGCATGCCTCTTGAGAGCAGGCCTTTGTTTTGCCAGCTGGCTCAACATGTTGATGTATCTCCAGTCTTTGTTTTCTCTATTTTTAAACTGCCTCACAAAGTCAGAAAGAAGGATGACAGCAGTGGAAGAATCTTCCCTTCCAGATGAGTGAAAGAGGTGTGGAAGGCTTCTGCATGGCTTGGGTTCAAGAAGCCATAAAGTTTTACAAGAAGCTTCTTTTTTCTATTTTCAAACCAGGACTTTTTCTTTAGTTTGAACTTGAAGAGACAACGTGTAATTCATTCTTACTTTTACACGTACCGATTGTAGAAAATGTTTGCAAAGAGGGTGGACATTCAGTACAATGGGGTACCTGCCTTTCATGTTGAGTTTTTAGCCAATAGCAGCAGTAGCGGCTGAGACGGATCACATTCTTAAACTTAAGAAGTTAACTGATGTATTACCAATTACTCTTAGAAAATGCTGCATAATGCCTCTTCACACAAATCAAAATAAACTTCTCAGATTACAAATACCCTACTTGATTAACTGAAGTACCGCCAATGAGGAGCTGAGATACCTTGCTGTTTGAAACAGAGGAATAACGGGAGGGTAACAGATTAGATGTGCAGGATACAACCAGCACTTGGACAAGTGATGACAAGCCGTGATAGGATGACAGAAACACGCTGGCAGCCTTTCTAATGGACCAGGAAAAAAAAATAAAAAATGAAAGGAAACCTGTTTTAACAGGTTTTTATGAATCAATCAATATTTCTCTAAACATGAACTCTGAAATGTAGATCCTATTGGTATTTGTAAACAAGAGAAATACAGAAAACAGATATCTAACCAATTTAAAGCAACAGGTGAAGTATGACACTAGAGCTACAGGCAGATCAGGTGTTAAGAGAGGAGATGACACAACTGGATGATAAAACCTCTACTGCTTGATGTCTCTTCAAGTCCAAACACTGCCTCAACAGATAAGCCACAATGAGGCAATCTTGGTACACACTGCGTCATTCAGGAGGACAACAGACTGCTTAGTGAACGCTTATCTCAAACCCAAAGCTGCTCTATCTAAAGAGAAAAAACAAAACAGTGTTTGGTCTTCAGTTCTAAACAGCCTTCTCTTTTCCAGTGAACGGGAAGAAATGTAATCTATTTCCCTTTAGATGGGTTATTTTTTGTGCTTCTATGTGAAAAATGCTGTTTCAAAGAGAGAAAGGCCGAGACACACAATGAATATCAGAAAATTTGATGGTGTCCAGAACATTTTGGAAAACAAACTCCGTGTTTAACTTAATCACCCACCTGCAAGATGCTGTTTAAGTAGCAGGTGTTGCCAAGGTTGTTAAGACCAACAAAAGGCACCAAGTTCTCTTTCTTCTCATGTGGGATAGCGATAGCGAGTCCCGGTGAAGATGGACAGGGGGCGGGGCCATAGACCACCTGCTCACAGCTGCAGAACAAGAGAAACAAAACAGGAAACAGCTTGTTTAGTTCTTAAACTGTTCTAGTTTAGCTTTTCTATATTGCAAGTAAAAGTGAACAAAAATGTCTTCAATAGAACATTGTTAATATAATCTCTATGTCATTACCTCCAATTTCCACATCTTTCTGGGCAAAGGGTATCATAAGTATCCATTCCTTCAACATATTTGACTAATTCAGGGCTTTTTCCTTCATTATAAACACCAATTTATCTAAAGATTGACTTAAGTGGAGTTTTAGTTTCCTGTTTGTTATTTACAGGTGACCAAAAGGTTGGGGCAAGAGATAAATGACCAAATTAGGGCTTCTTGTTACAGTAATGTGGTTCCTGCTTCAATCTTGTCAAGAAAAAAGTCGAATCAAAATGCAAAGTTGTTCATTTACTAATGCGCCTACATTCTAGGTCTCATGGTCATGAGATACGAGATCTTGGATAGAAGAGTTAGAATGAGTGAAAACAGGTTAACGAGCTTCGCTATCAGAGCAAGCTGGTCCTCAGTTACAAAGAAAAACCTGTTGATGTGATATGACAAACATCTGTGGGTCTCCATTTAAAGAGGATTTGCTGGTCTATTACGTCCATAATGTTATATAATAGAAAGGATCCATATGGTAATCTGGAGGGAATATGAGTACAGATTCTTTGGCCTGGAAAAGCCTTCAAATTCTCTAGATTGAGCTGGAACATGTAGCACAGGGAAGTGATGCCCTGGTATTTTACTAACAAACCTCCTCATAAATATGTTTCTATGAATTGATTAAATATCTATATTTAAAATATCTATGATGGCTTCCTTCACATTTTTATTTCAACTGTTCAGATTTCTTGAGACTCAAATTGCTATTTTTTTTTCCTTAATTTTTTCTTTCCTACACATTTTAACAGGAGATTTTGTCAAATAATGGCTTCCTAATAAGTCCCAAAATCCCTAAGGGGCCGCTGTCCTCCATGTTTAATGTGTCCCCCATTGCTGTAGATTAGACACCTCAAGAACATACAGAACAGTGGACAGAAAGAATCAGAGGTGAGGACATTTGGACTGCACTGTCCAACACTAAACTCATTTATTTTACATTAAAGCCTGCAAATTTTGAAACCTGCTAAATGCTGTTCGATATCTCTGAACTCCAGTTAGTTTAAAAGTCCAGGAAAACAAAACAAAAATGCTGCAAAATAACAGTTTTACAAATACTAAGCTTTTTGAATTCAAAAACACTTAAATAATCCCAAAGGGAAATTAAATAATTTTAACAATAAACAAAAGATTAGGCGTTTTTGTTTTTATTTTATGTATTCAAATATTATTCTTTTGAATATTTTCCTCCAAACCAAAGGTGCCCAAACGGTAATCCAAAAATATTTACCCAAATGAAACCTCAGTTATTTGATCATGATGTTTAGGGTAACACATTTTGTGGAGCTGTTCTAGAGAAGAGCTTATCACTAGAGAAGCAGAAAGAAATAACTGCAAAAAGAAATCTGTAGGATTAAGAAGCAATCTGTTCTCTAGCAAAATAAATAACTAAAAATGTGGATGAAATCTGGAGAGACACAACACATTAAAACTATTATCATCATCATGAAACATATGTGTGAATTATTGCAAAGGACTTTTTTGCATGTTATACCAGCTACCCTTTAAAGTGTCATGCATTCATGCTCTGCATGTTCATAATATATCTGACCACAGTTAGGTAGATTTCTACTCTCTTAAATGCTCACTTAATACATATTTTTCCTGCCTGATGCTCAATCTCACCGACAGTGGTTGGAACCTTTTTGATCTGTTAAAAAAGACTAATAACCAGTTTTTTGCATTTTGCAACTCCAATTCCAACTCTAGACTCTTCCAATTTTTCTTTAAACTAGGGCGGAAACAATAGGATCAATTGCTTATTAAAACAATCATCAACTAATAGGAAGGAGACTGTAAAATATGCTTTTAGTACACAGAGTGACCCACTTAGATCAGTAAGTGTTTACCAAAATTGTAATAAAAATAAAAAAATAAAATGTAAACATTTTGCATTTAAGATATAAATTGTTTTCCTCTGTCAATCTGCTCTGTCCAGCAATCCTCAAGTGAAAAAAGTTTTCCTTGGTTTAATTGTTCAAAAAGCCTTCTTTAAGGAACATTTCGCTATACATTTATTAATCTAAAAAATTATCGACCGAGTCATCGATTTGAAAAATAAGTTGCTCGCTACTTTACAGTTTCAAACCTGCTTGTGCTGCACATCCATAGACATTCAAGAATCTGCAATGGAAACATCACTGGGAAGTTAAATAGAAACTGTTTCAAAAATACAAAGTAAAATAGGAGAAAAACCTTTCCTGAAGGGAAACAACTGTTTTTAATTAATCTCCTCCCAGGTTGCTGGAGTTTGTCAAAATACGGAAAAAGCTAATTGAGTGAGTATTAAAGATCATCTGAATCCTGGATAGTTGAAATTGTTAAATCTATCTTCATATTAAAACAAAAACAGACACTGCTTAATTGGCTATCTTTCTCAAAATCATAATTTTTCACTGTTTCAGCTTAACGTACAGTTTAATGCTTATGAACCCTTTGTTTTTTTATATCATTCATCATTTATATTAGCTGCTTGTATTATGTTTAAAAATATATGACATCCAGCTTTGAGAAAGCCTCGATTTTAAATGTCTTCTGCTCTGAATTGCAAAAAAATTGATTGACTTTATATCCCACAGTGGAGAAATTTACTCGTTACATCAAATAGTCAAAGGATAAGAAGAAGGTGCCAAAGAAAGAAAAAGCTGCATGCGATACATATACAGCACGTCCACATATGACAAGTATTTTTATTTTTTTTTTGTAGCAGGATTATAATACAGGGTTATTTAGGCAGGGTATGTACATAACTATTCAAGTAGCTGGATATTTATATTTAGTTATTGCACTGGGTGTTTATATGGGTATGTATGTAGATGGATATTTATATTTAGTTGTTGCACTCTGTGTTTATATGGGTATTTCTGTAGATGGATATTTATATCAGAATCAGACATACTTTAATAATCCCAGAGGGAAATTGCAGAATATCAAGTTATTGCACTGGGTGTGAAATATAGAGAAACAGGTTAAGCATCAAATTCAGAAAACTAAACCTTTTTTGATAGTTCTTTTTTACTTATTAGCTATATGTGTCAATAAGCAAAAGCGATAAAAGAAAATATACTTTTCATGTTTCAACTCTGCTTTTGGATCAAAAGTAGGAATCCTGAATAACAAAATATTGCATTTACTTGACACACCTTACACCTATTCAGTACTGATTAAACGTGTGATTTATGACCCCAATCCTACTTTGATCATTCAGTATATTGTTTGTGTGAACAATAAAACCAGCATTGGCCTCAGACCCACCTTGCCACTGAATCCGCTTGTTCTTCTGTTTTGTCTTCTTCTGTTTGAGCTTCAGAGAAATCCAGAGCTCGTTTCGTTTCTTTCTTCTGGAAGAACTTTAAGGAGAGTTTGTTCCTCTTTACTGGACTCGCCTGCCCTGCTCCGGTGTTCTCCGTCAGTAGACCTGACATTTTTCCTTTCTCCTCGGTATCTTAATGGGATCCAACAGCGACGCCCACTGGCGAAAAAGAAAATGACAGAAGTTAATTTCAGTCGGCGCCATCAGAGCTCGACAGGAACGAACGTAACTACGCACTTAAGTTTTTGTTTTTGAAAACGCAATAATGAACCGACCTGCTCGAGTTTATCATTTCACACGAACACGATTAGACATTTAGTATAAAACTACATGTTGACTTTTGGCATTTATAACGTATAAGCTAGCTAAACGCTGATTTAAACATGCCGGTAAAACGACCCTAAACAGCAAACCTTTGTGTATTCAATTGAGTCAGATAGTTACAGCACATAAGCGGTATTCATTTAAAAAAATAAAGTTATTTAAAACAATGTGAGCACAACACGGTAAAGTGGGTCGCCATGGAACGGTGTAGTGAAGCAGTGGGAGGAGTAAACGGGCAGCACGCTGCCTTCAAATGTTTGATTCAATACAATAAACTACTTAAATTACAACGACAAGACACATTTATGACTTACCTAAATAAGTCATTCCACCTTCAGGTTTAATATATCTTCCCAAATATAAAGTCATACAAATCATATACTCCGCTGTTTGACAATTCAGACGGTGCAAAGAGAAGTTGGCGCTTTTTCCTGCTCGAAGACACGCTGACCTGTTCTCCGCCGGAGGAGAATCAAGAAATATCCGACAAAAATGTCAAATATAGGTTTGAGAGTAAAATAATAGTGAACCATACAAACTCACGAATCACATTAACGTACAGATTATTTGGGGAATTGGATAACATGGAACATATACAGTCTTATACGCAGGCTTAGCTATAGACTCCTAAGTACATCTACCGCGAGGACGCCATGTTTGTAGTTTTTTTTTTTACCAGAGGGGAAAATAATGGAAATCGGAAGTTCCTGTCAAAATAAAAGCTGTCTATTTATTATTGTTACAGCGTAATGAAGAGTTTTAATCTGGCAAATAACGCGGACAATTAAATTTTGGTGAACTTTCCTATATTTTGTCGGTTACATTTATTTATTTATTTATTTATTTTTTGCGGTAGCCAACAGTTTTGTTTGTTTGTTTGTTTGTTTTTTGTTTTGTTTTTAAACACACGTGAACACATCTTTTGTATAATATGATGGAAGAAAAGAAGATAATCCTTTATGTCTGTATGTTGGTACAATCTAAATAAGGGAACATTTATTCAAAATCAAAATAAATAATTGTCTATTAAAATGGTCTGCTTAAAATTGCATACTTGGGTTAAATGAAATTTGCAGTTTAGTGGACTGATTTGAAAGTGTACAAAATGTCAACGTATGATTGTGAATAAAAACTGCAAAATACTATTTTAAAAAATGCATTTAACAGTAGAAATACAAAAAACATTGAAATGGAGGAATTATTGTGATAATGTGAATGTGGAAGGGAAGGATCTGTGATAACACTTCTGAGTATCTAGTGTGCAGCAGTGTTTTAACTAAAGGGCCTCTCCTGTGCTGTAACAGTCTAAAGCATGGGGTGGGAGACATTATCCAACAGTTACTTTATTTTTATGAGTGTCATTCTGTCTTTCATCATCTGCATTGAGTCAAGGAGGCATCAAGAGACAGAGCTGATCCTTAGGATAAACTTATCCACACTCCACCATGGGGGGGGGAGTAGTGGCCTAGTGGCTAGAGAGCACAGCATTTGCCTCAAACTGGCTCACTGAGCAAGACTTTGAACCACGATCCTCCCAAAGCAGCACCAGCTGCTCACTGATGTCAAATTGACTTAAAGGTTAAATGCAGAGGTCAAATTTTCATTCTAATGTTCAGTTGAAGTAACAATGTTATTCTATTATCTTGTCTTCCTCTCAGCAGCAAAATAAGCTAGTGCTCCACTAAACTAAATATAGAAGATGGCCAATGGCAGGGATGGTGGATCTGGAGTCAACAAGTCATCTCCATGTCATGTATTTGTTCTGCCCAGCCACTGAACCAGGTGAGTCCAATCTGCACAGGTTAATTCACTCTGCAGATCGGACTCGCCTGGTTCAGTGGAAGATCCACAGATTCAAGAAGATCAGAGTTCGCTTCCCGGCCCGGCTCTTTCTGCATCGAGTTTGCATGTTCTCCCTGAGCATGCGTGGGTTCTCTCCTGGTACTCCAGCAAACTGTGCCTCCCACAGTCCAAAAACTTGACTGTTAGGTTAATTGGTTTCTCTTAATTGTCCTTAGGTATGTGTGTGAATGGTTGTCTGTCCTGTTTGTCTCTGTGTTGCCCTGCAATGGACTGATGACCTGTCCAGGATGTACCCCGCCTCTTGCCCCTGGACAGTTGGAGATAGGCATCAGCACCCCTCGACCCCACATGGGATAAGCGTGATAGAAAATGGATGGATGTCTTGAGACAAATGATCAGCATCCTACAGTAAACACGAGTTAAAATTTTTTCAAGAGGCCTTAAACATATTGTTTTTAAGAACAGCTTTAACATAATGAGTTTAATGTACTAGGTTGTCCAAGCAGTCCTTATTTCATTTTATTATTCACATCAAAAGCATAAAGGGTATGTTGCATTACGTTAACCTCAAACTAAACCTTTAGTTTTGTATTTTTAGCTGGGGTTAAAGATAGTTATCTCTATGTGACAGCCACAAGGATTAAAAGAAAAATAAAGCTCACGTGAGATCTGAGCAAAACATCAGCTATAGTAGCTACGGCTTTTATTTTGAAGACCTAATTCTTCCAACCTGTCTGTATTTTCCAAATAAAGACAAACTATACTTTCCTGCAGCCTTTGCTAACAAATAGATGCATATATTTAAACATCCATCTAGATAAAAGGTATAGTCGATAAAGTTTTTTCAGGTTTAAGTTCTGGGTCGAACATCTTTTCCATTGTCATTACTTAGCTACTTTTATCAATAATCATTCTGCATAAAATTGATATTTAAAAGTACTAATGTCTACAAAAATTGTTTATTTACTAAGTTTTTATTAGAATAGTTATTTATCTATATTTAACTGAAGACTGACTTGCATTTTCTCTTTACCCCATATAATACAAAATCTAGTTCTGAAAAGAGCATGAATTCTGTGCTTGTCATCTTTAATGTTAGTATATTGATGTGCATAATTAACCACTGTGTTTTTAATTTATGAAAAATTAAAAATGTTTTGAATATTAAGAGTATTACTGTCATTGTCAGTATTATGGGGGGGAAATGGTAGGGGTGGCCACAGGGGTGGCAAATTTTATGGGTTATTTTATAAAAAAAAAAAAAAAGAATATTAGAACTGTAAATATACAGTCATATGTTTATATCACTATTTTTTAATGTATTTATTACTGTTTTGGAGGCTGTGCTTTAAAAATGAAATTGTCTAGAGCTGTTTTTAAACAAAATGTATTTTTGTTTACACTCGTGTATACAAAATGTTGAATAAATCTGTATAAGTCTAAGTCAATGATTGGGGAAGGGTGGCCATGGCCACCCTTGGCCCCCCCTCTAGCTCCGCCCCTGCTGCCTAATAGAAAATTGTCCCGTCGCAGTGAATTTTTTTGACGGTCGTACATAATTTTGACCAACAGGGGGCGGCATTATCCCGGGAATGTAACGCAGAGCTGTCCAATAGGATCATCACCATCTTCGCTGGACCATCTCCTCCTCTGACAGTCACCAGGATACTCCTTCATGATTTTAACGGTAAGATACAGTTTGTTTGTGCATCGCTTTCTGGGGTAAATGATAAATAGTCTGTGATTTCAGTCTATTCAGTCTCATTTCACCTCAGTAGTATCATAGCAGTTGCACTGTGATGTAAAAGCGTTTGCAGACTGTTGGTGCTGGCGTGCGTTTTTTTTTTTTTACGATGCGGGGAGTATAGTGGGACCTGAGTGTTGCTCAGAAATGTGGAACGACAGGTGCGGTATAACACGCTGGGAATCAAACTATATGTTTTGTTTTATATGGAGATGCGTGAGCTGGACGGTCCGTTTCTGCTGCTGCAGAGTCGATGCTTGGTCAGCAGCAAACATGCATCGCTGAGCTACTGAGCTTCAACAAACCCCTTGGTTATCAGATGTTGTTGCAGCAGGGATGCAGATACAGTGATGGACGGTGGTAGTGTCGCAGTCTAGGACTTCCTGTGGGATTGGCTGGTATTCCCAAAGGTATCCTCACTCTAATGATCTAGGATAGGATATATCCTCTGTTGCAACAAATCACTCATTCTATGTCCAGATATCTCTAGACTGGAATAATTTAAATAAAATTTATCCTAAATAACACTTCTAATTATTATTTTTTTTATTTCAACTTAATTAAACAAAATAAATTAGG